CTGCGGAGGGAACTTCGGGTTTACACAGGAAATGCTCGCAACGACACTGGATGGGCACGACATTATATTGGGACGTGATTTGCTGCGACGGTATAACCCACGAATTGACTGGACGACGGGTAGCTGCACTGTGCGAAGTAGTGGTAACTGGGTCGTCCTACCTCGCTGGCAGCCACCCGAGTCTTCGACGGTCCAGGTCAACGCCATCACGATGAAACGGGCTGTCGCTGCTGGAGCTGACGTGTACGCAGTGGATATCGCATTCGTGGAAAAAGGGGAGCAGCCGAGTGATTTGCATAAACTGTTGGTAGCCTTACCACCCGAACTACAGGCACTACTGAAACGGTTCCCGGGTATCTTTCCGGATGACTTACCGCAAGGGCTGCCACCTCAGCCGGCGCATGACCATAGGATCGAGTTAGAACCGGGGGCACAGCCAACTGTATAGCGCCAATTTCGGCTGACACAGCACGAGCTCGACGAGCTAAGGAAGCAGTTAGATTACCTGTTAGAGAAGCAGTTTATCCGACCGAGCTCGTCCCCGTTCGCCGCACCGATACTGTTCACACCGAAAAAAGACAGAGGGTTTCGCATGTGCATTGACTACCGAGCGCTTAACAGGGTAACAGTAAAATCACGATACCCCATACCCTGCGCCGACGAACTGATTGACCAGCTGCGAACCGCACGAGTATTTTCGAAAATAGACTTACGGGAAGGTTACCATCAAATTCGGGTCGAACCATCGGACTGCGCCAAGACAGCATTTAGGACTAGGTACGGGTCATTCGAGTACACGGTGATGCCTTTCGTGCTGACCAACGCGCCTGCAATATTTCAGATGACCATGAACGAGGCGTTTAGGCCACTTTTAGAAAAATGCGTCATAGTTTACCTCGACGACATCCTCGTTTACAGTAGGGACCAGCAGCAGCACTTAGTAGATCTCGAAGCAGTTTTTAAAATTTTAGAGGCACATCGGTTACTCACCAAGGGCTCCAAGTGCGAGTTTTTTCGGGACAGGCTAGAGTTTTTAGGTCACGTCATTTCGGAGGCTGGGGTTGAGATAGACCCTAAGAAGCTGGATACCGTAAAAGCGTGGCATCCCCCGACGAACATCACGGAACTGCAGACTTTTTTAGGGTTTGTTAATTACGTTCGTCGGTTCATCCCCGACATGGCACGCTTAACAGCCCTGTCAGAATATTATCTTATGTCCTAAACCTGCTACTTTTTCCTCCCGCCGTGCGCCCCGAGGCGCGCGGCGGTTTTCTGCCCGCCGTGCGCCCCAAGGCGGGCGGCGGTTTTCTGCCCGCCGTGCGCCCCGAGGCGTGCGGCCGTTCTCTGCCCGCTGTGCGCCCCGAGGCGCGCGGCGGGCTTCTGCCGCGGCGTTCGCCGCGTCCCGCTCGGGACGCGTCGCGACGGGCGATGGGGACCCGTCGCGGCCCCGCCGCCCCACTCTCGCGGCCCCGCCACCGACTCGTCGCGGCCCCGTCACCTTCGGTCGCGGCCCCGCCACCGACCCGTCGCGGCCCCGCCACCGACTCGTCGCGGCCCCGCCACCTCCGGTCGCGGCCCTGCTGCCTCACGTCGCGGCCCAGCCGCCTCCGGTCGCGGCCCCGCCAACTCCGGTCGCGGCCCCGCCACCGACCCGTCGCGGCCCCGCCGCCCCACTTCGCGCCCCCCCCCCCCCCCCCCCCCCCCCCCCCTCCTCCCCCCCCCATTTCCCGTCGTCTGTCGTGGCGACCTGAGGGGCGAGCTGTGGGGTGGCAGGTATGGGGGTGGCCGGTGTGCTTTTCTCCCTTTGCTCCTCCTCCTCCTTTGTCTCCCACTGCTGCAGCTGTCGCTGAGGGGGGTGGTTGTGTGGGAGACTGGGGTTTAGGGTTTAAGGGGGGTGCGTGGGAGTGGAGCTAGCGATGTAGCAGCGGGTGCGTATCAGGGGGGTGGGACTGTGTGCGGGAGGATGAGCGGAGGTTGCCAGTTTGTCGTCAGCAACACCTGTAGTCCGGGGCGCTGTCCCGGTAGCCCAGTGAGCTAGACTTCTACGCCAGCCGCCCGTGGGTCCGTTGCCCGTCTGCCGCTTCTTGAGCCGCGGGGCCTGTTACTCCTGTAGTCCGGGCGCTGTCCGGTAGCCGCTGTGCCAGTCTGCCTCCCGTTGCCCGTGTGTCTGCAGCTTCAGCCGTCGCCTCCTATCTCCTCTCCCCTCACTCTCTCTCCTCCTCCTCACTTGCCCGTTGTGACTACCACTAGCTTTGCTCATAATTATGAACTCTAAACTATTGCTTCTTAAACTTGTGCTCAGAATGTGTGGTGACATTATGATCCACCCTGAGCTTGTACTGCTTTGCCTGCTCTGCTGATTACACCCCACTTTGGCTATGGGGGTGTGTCAGAATATTATCTTATGTTCTAGCCTGTAGTGGGGTGCTCTATAGCGAGTACAACCCTTCTAGGGTTTTCTATTTGTATCCTCATTCTTGCTAGTTCAACCCTCTTTCTTTCTTCTAATTTTGTCAAGCCCCGCTCACTGATTTATTGCATAAGGGGGTCCCTTTTACGTGGGGGGAGAAAGAGCATGCTGCCTTCTCTGCCCTGAAAAATGTTCTCTGTTCACCACCCGTCCTACGCATCGCTGACCCACACCGCCCCTTCGAAGTTGTTACCGACGCGAGTGACATCGCCATCGGAGCCGTACTATTACAGGACTTCGGCAACGGCCTCCAACCCATCGCCTACGAATCACGCAAGCTACATCCACCTGAGCGAAATTACCCGATACACGACCGCGAAATGCTCGCGATCGTGCATGCATTCAAAGTGTGGCGCTGCAACTTGACCGGCGCAGACGTGACAGTACGGACAGACCATCGATCCCTACAATACCTTCGCGCATAGCCCCACCTCAACCCACGACAGATTCGGTGGCTCGACTTCCTCGAGTCGAATTTCCACTATACGGTCACATATAAAAAAGGAACCTCGAATATCGCCGACGCACTGACCCGCCCCATTGCCCAAATCCATGCAATACTACTCGCCCAGACCAGCCCGTTACTGACGGGACTATTTACCCACGGATATCAAACAGACCCATTCTTCACAGGAGGAAATTCACAGCAATTCACAGCAGCCAAGGGGGTCTATTACGTAAAATCTAGATCCGACCGCATCTGGGTACCAGGGTACACACTACTACGGGAACTACTGTTACAGGAGGCACACGACGGAGTTACATCGGGACATTTTGGAGTAGAAAAAACACGGCAGCAGCTGCAGCGGTACTATTACTGGCCGGAAATGTTGACCGACGTGCAACGACACGTGGCATCGTGTCCCACTTGCCAACTCATGAAGTCAACCAGGAAGCGGCCGGCGGGACAATTACAACCAATCCCACCTCCAGAGCGTGCTTGGCAGCAGGTGACGATGGACTTCGTCACGGGGTTACCGGCCGGGGCGAGTGGGAATGACGTGATCCTGGTCGTCGTCGATCGACTAACGAAGATGGCACATTTCGCAGCATGCAGGAAATCAATCACAGCCGAGGAAACAGCCCGACTCTTCATCGCCACCGTCGTTCGACTGCACGGGATACCAGCGTCGATCATCAGCGACAGGGACACGAAGTTTACCAGTAATTTCTGGCGGAACCTGTGGCAGCAGTTCGGCACGCGACTTCAATTCAGTTCATCGTATCACCCCGGAACCGACGGACAGACAGAACGGACAAACCAGACTATGGAGCAGCTCATTCGAGGCACGTGTGACGATCCAAACACGTGGGAGCAGCAGCTGCCTCTCATCGAGTTCGCATACAACCCAACAGTACCCATGACACCAACCCCCGACAATCCCGTTCCACGCGCACAACAGTTCGCCGAGATTTTGCAGGCAGCACGGACCAGGGCAGCAGAAGCAATTAAAAAATCAAATATCATCGCTAAACGCAACGCCGATCGCCACCGCAGACCCGTCACTTATCAGCCCGACGACCTCGTTTTACTCGACACTCAGAACCTCCGCCTGCCCATCACTCCCAAACTCCGCCCTCGATACTGTGGGCCATTTCGAATCAGTCACATGATCACACCTGTCACCGCACACCTCCTCCTTCCTGCTGACTGGTACGTCAGCCCCTCGTTCCACGTCAGCCTGCTTCGCCCTTACGTACCATCCACCAGCCAACTCCCACGACATCGACCATCCAGCATGTCACGACCACCAACCGAACCAATCATCACCCCCGACAAAATCTTAAGCCACAGAGTTCGCGACCCTCGAGGAGCCCGAAAAGTTGAGTTTCTGATCCGCTGGAAAGATCGTACACCCACCGAGGACAACTGGGTTCCCCTGGACAGAATTGAAAACCACCCTGTCGTCACCGACTATCTACGTAGCCGAAACTTCAAAGACGTCCACGCGCTTTCGTAAGGAGGACCCTTAGGAGGGAGGGGGTAGTGTAAGGAAATTCCCTTTTCCTTACTTCGCATCCCTGCTCAACGCGTACATCACTGTAGCACCTCAGTCAGCACCGTTACCACTCGCGACCATCGCATCATTCATCATCCCGCCATTTTCGCACATGGCATCCCGACCTCACGGCTCGACTGGTAACCCGCGCTCCGGGCCTACGCTTCGACACTTTCCCAACCTCAGTCCCAGGCTCGTCGCGCGACCATTACCGTTACCACTGTAGTTTTCGCTATATATTCTTCGCTCATGCCTTCGCTCATTGTACTCTTGCTTCGATAGTGCAATTCTCGTTCGTTCACTCCATTGCACTCGTAACATAAACACTCTAGTGCACTCATTGATGAGAATCACCGTTGATGCCTTCATGATGTCATACTCCCACCATAACACATAGAAACAAGCTATCCTGGGCTGGCTTATATGCCACAAACACTATCAACAAGAGATGGCTTACGATTTCACACACTTTACTCAAGTCTGAGTGACTAACAAAGTCAGTTAAGAACATGGGATGAGCTAACACGGGATCAGGGTTGTACTGAAGCCAAGGGTGAGTTGGGGCCGGCCTTTTGGCCGGCCGACACGAGGTCCCGGAAGAGATTGCCACTGGTCCAGCTGCCGCCCAAACTCTTCCTGCCAATCCCTCCGTTCCCTTGCCTCATCATGGCAACAAACTCGTTATAGTCAATGATGCCATCCTGCAGGAAAAAAACAAAAACAATTACTCTTCAAACAGAGACTGCAGAAAAAAGGGCAACAGAAACGTCGGGCTTCCTTTAGGTACCAAAACTGCATTCCTATCACACATCATAACAACCTCGCGTCACCAAAAAAATAGACACAGTACCGTGCAAATAACTTCATCGCCAGAACAGTACCAGCAGCCTCATCACTCACATTTTTTGTGTCGATGTCACGTATGGACTTAACAATGCACACCTCGTCAACCTCATACACGCGGCACGCGTCCCGCAGCTCGTTATAATGTATCTCAAACGTCTCAGAAGTGAATGGCAGTACTCACATTGTTAGTGTCAACATCGCGCATGGTCTCAACGATGCACTCCTCGTCGACGCCGTACTCACGGCACGCGTCCTGCAGCTCATCAGTGGAAATGAAGCCCGAAGAGTCCTTGTCAAAGTAGGAGAAGGCAGCAAACAGCGTCTCCTCGCGCTCTATCTTGTTCAGCTGCACCGTGGCCGCCAGGAACTCGCCGTAGTCAATGGTGCCATTGCCGTCAATGTCAGCCTGGATTGGGGATTGAGATGAGTGGGACACGGAGGTAACAAATATCAGACTCTGCAGGGTTCCCCTCAGGTACTCGCCATGGTCAATGGCTCCACCCATGTCAGCCTGATTGTGATGCGAGGGTAACTGAGATGATGAGATGCTATCCGATGAGATGTGATGCCGCCAATAAGTGATGTGGGAGATATGGGGTGAATACGATAACATGGGAATTAGCTGCCCATCGCACAAACAAACCCTAAGTCTAGGGTTCCGTTGCTGTCAACATAGGCATGAGTGGTGCGAAGGGAAGACAGTGCGTCAGAGTCTCGGTAAACATGGAAAGGGTGACTGGCGACGCCAAGAGGGAGGGAAGCAGGGGTGTCGAGCGTTGTCAATAATGAAAAAAAAACTATATGCCTTGAACACCCTGAAGACTTGCACACACAGCAGCTTACTACAGCAGCCCACCACACCACTCTAGCAAATGCAAGCCCAGGCACACCGCATCCATGCGGTCCATACAGAGATCTCCATGTTGTTGGGCGGAGACGAATCCTCTTTAGCTTTGGCGGAACAGCACATACCCCAGCCCGCTGCACAACCTGGTACACACGGCACACACGACCGTGCCTACATAGCCAAGCCCCAAGCCCACACACGCAAAGCCAAGCCCCGTGCACCCACTCACCGCATCCATAAGCTCCTTAATCTCCATGTCGTTGAGAGTCGACCCGATCCTCTCAAGCCCGGCTCGCAGCTCCTCATGTGAGATGGTGCCTTTTGAGTCGACTCAAACCAAACCCCAAGACCACCCCAAGCACTCACCACACCCATGAGCTCCTTAATCTCCATGTCATTGAGGGTACACCCAATCATCTTGAGCCCTGAAATACCAACACACAACCAAGCCCAACGCCCAGACAGACACGCACAGCCAAGCCCGAGACATCCATTCACGAGTAGCTCACCGCATCCATGAGCTCCTTAATCTCCATGTCATTGAGCGTAGACCCGATCCTCTTGAGCCCGGCACGCAGCTCCTCATACGTGATGGTGCCGCTGCCATCGGTGTCCATCATCTTGAACGTCTCCTTCAGCCCCGAGATCTCCTCCTCCGACATGCTCTCTGCGATCACGCGCAGCGCCATCTTCTTGAGCTTGTTCATCGCCGTGAACTGCTTCAGGCGGGACAGCACGGCTGAGCCCAGAGGCTTGTCGGGTGCGACGCCATCCTTGGCCACCCACGGATGGCCTGCCGGGAGGGAGGGGTAGCGGTGACAGCGGGGGGAGAAGGACGGACAGACGGAGAGACGAAAACATCACGGGTTGTTTAAGTGGTGCCGCTGCCGCTGCCGACAATTATCTTGAACGTCTCCTTGAGCCCCAAGCCCAATGAATGACGAACTGGAGAAGTGAAACACGGCTGAGGGTAGAGGCAGCACTGTGGTGGATGAGGTCCTTGGAGTCCTCACTGATGGACGGCCACAAGACTCCTCACGCCCTTACTCCCCTCATCTCATCTCACACACACAGCAACAGACAGCGCCTCTGGCACACCAACTGACAGAGCAGCTGCCAGAGCAGCTGACAGCCCAAGAGACAGAGAGAGGTTGACTCACAGAGCACGTCATAAGCGGAGTAGCGCTTCTTGGGGTCGAGGCAGCACATGTGGCGGATGAGGTCCTTGGAGTCCTCACTGATAGACGGCCACGGGTCCGACTCAAAGTCCAGCTCGCCCCGCAGCACCGCCTCGAATATGCCCTGCTCCGTCTCTGCAGGAGGAGAGGAGGGTGAAGGAGCAGGGGGTATGCACCATGCTTGCACATGAACATCGACATGGCAGCTGTCCGACTCAACGCCCAGCTCGCCCCGCAGCACCGCCTCAAAGATACCCTGCTCCGTCTCTGGTGGAGTGGAGTTGGAGAGGGGGAAGGTAAAGGGGCAGGGGTTCAGTGCACGAGTTCAAATCGGCCGGCAGCATTGCCTCAAATATGCCCTGATCCGTCGTTGCATGTGTGGGTGGAGTGGGTGGGGTGCCTCGGGTGTGTGGGGAGTGGGGCGTGTGGGGCGAGGGGTGTGTGGTGAAGTAAGGGGAAGGGGGAAGTGCAGCAATCTTGCACGTGAGCATCGATATTGCAGCAGTAAGGTGTGCACGAGTCCAATTCGCCCCGCAGCACCGGCTCTGAGGAGCAGCGCAGGGGAAACGAAGAAGCAGCGGGGACATGCGTGCAATGCAAGTGAGTGAGCAACGACATGGTGGTGCTTCAGTGCGCACGTCCAGTCCCCCAAGCAACACTGCCTCAATTAGTCACTGATCCGTCTCTCTGTGTGAGTGGGTTGCACACGTGAGGGAAATGGGAAGAGGGGGTGGAACGGGGTGGGGAGTCAACGAGGGACGAGGGAGAAGGTGGGGTTGGGGTGGAGGGTGGGGGAAGGCGAAGGAGGGTGGCACTAAAAGTTGCGAGCAGGCTTAGATTGGGCAAACGTTCCTAAGGACCAAGCAAATGATGATGCTGCACATGCTCCACCAACCTCTTTTCAACCAATCATTTCCCAGCCTGCAACCACCCTTACGACACTCATGCCCACAGATGCGCCTTACGCCCACCCTTGCACCTTTGACTCTACTGAAAAATCCTATAACGGGTAAAGACCTGCTAAGGCGGGAAGATGGCATGCTTACCTAACCACGTACCAGCACCCCACTGAGGAGGATTTTGATAATCACATTTATGCTCACTTCCTGATCCTTTTTTCTTTGAACGAACCGGGGGGTCTCTTAACGGGTACGCACCTGCCCAGAAGGGTGGCACGCCGGAGAGCAGGATGTAGATGATAACGCCCATGCTCCACACGTCCGCCTTCTCGTTGTACCTCCGCCGCAGCACCTCCGGCGCCACGTAGTACGGGCTGCCCACCACGTCCGACAGGTACTCGCCTGGATGGAGGAGGAAAAGGTGGGGGTTGGGTCGGGGTAATGAGATGAGACAAACGGATTGAGAGGCGCACCTCAGGCGCCACGTAGTACGGGCTGCCCACCACGCCCGACAGTTACTCGCCTGGCGGGGGGGGAAGAGGGGAGGGGGAGGCGGGTAGGGGGGTGCGGTTGGAGCAGGCAGAAGGGGGGTGGCGGGAGGGGTAGGGCATAAGGTGTTACGATCCAGGAAAGCCCCTCCGGCGCCAAGTAGTACGGGCTGCCCACCACATCCGACAGGTACTCGCCTGGTGGGGAGGGCGGGACGGCGAGTTGGGAGATGAGGGTGAGGAGGGGGGGGCGGGGGGGGAGAGGGGACGGGGAGACAATACGAGTCGATAAGGGGCATCTCGGGCCCACACTGGAGAAACAGCCGCAGATGTGCGTGTTTCACACGGACGAACAAAAGGGAGGGTGGCTGGACGCTGGGGAAGGAAGGGGGCTGGGGAAGGGGGAAAACGGTGAGGGGAGGAGGAAGGGCGAGGGAAAAGGGAGGCCTAGCACGCAATGCACTGCACTACACTGCAGTGCACGCACCTGGCTTGAAAAAGTAGGAGAGGCCGAAGTCGGTCGCCTTGAGGTCGGCGGTCTCGGACTTGTTGGCAAAGAGGAAGTTCTCCGGCTTGAGGTCGCGGTGGATCACGCCCAGCGAGTGGCACGCCTCTATCACCTTCGCGATCGTCCGCGTTAGCTCCGCCGCCTGCCGCTCACTGCGGGGGGCGGAGCGGGGCAAGGGCGGGCGGGAGGGGGAGGGAAGGAGGGGGGAAGATGGGGGAAAGCGAGGTGAATGGGGGAGGGGATGGGGAGAAAGGAGAAACGGAGGGAGTGGGAATCGGGAGGCGGAACGGAGGGAGGAAACGAAGCGGAAGCAGACTGGCAAAAGATGAGGGCTGCATGTCAGGGTGAGTGGGCGCGTGTGCGTTTATGAGGGTATGCGTGCGTCTGCGCGAGTCTGTGTGTGCGCGCACGTGTGCGAACGAGTGAATGTGCGTGCGTATGCACGCGCATGTGGAGAGTGTTTGTCTGTCCTTGGAAGGCAACTGAACCCCACTCGTTCTGGACTCCGCTCACGCTGTTTCACAAAAAACGATGAATTTGATATCGACTTCCATAGACGACAACATGGCGCAGACGCCATACACTCACATTGGGGCCATCGCGAATGTGAAACAAGAGATAAAGACACTTTTCGGAGTCACATGCACTGATCACGCTGGTGCGATGAAATAGTAGGGCTCCTCCTTTGAGCGAAAGTATATTGTAAACGGCTCCTGGAAATAGTTACCCAGACATTTCCCATCTGGAGCGAACGCTCCCCACGTACGTTGCGACAACTATTAGATAAAAAACGAACAAAAAAACAAAACAAAAACAAAAACAATCACAGTACAGCGTACACTCCGACGCTTACTAGTAATTAATTTCTGTGATGAAGCGCCCGAAGCGCTCGCACTTCCCGCGGAGATGGCTAAAAATGCAGACGAGTATTAGACCTAATGACGCAGGAGTAACCCCATCAGCAAGCATTCACCATATGCCTGCCATGAAACTTATATTCTGTGGCTACAGCACAGCGTACACTCGACGCTTACCTGTAGTGGCCCTTTTTAATAATGCGCTCGAACAGCTCGCCTCCCGTGCAGAGCTCCATGACAATGTGTACATTCGCGTGATCCTCGTAAGCTCCCTTGATGCACACAATGTTGTTATGGCCCGACAGGTGATGCATGATCGCCACCTCGCGTTTCACGTCCTCCACGTCCTCCCTCGATATAAGCTTCTTCTTTGCGATGGTCTTGCACGCGTACTCCTTCCCCGTGGCTTTCTCCGTGCAGAGAAACGTTACGCCGAACTGGCCCTGGCCAAGCTTCTTCCCCAGCTTGAATAATGACTCCAGTTGCTCTGCGCGAAATGTCGCAGTAATATCATTGTTAATAATGTTGAACACCGTCGCTTAATTTAGGTGGAAAAATGTGACAATGGATGTTACGTATATTCGAAGCTTGCGAAATGTGTCAATGCATTCACATTAGAACATGACAAAGGGAACCGAGCATAAGCGATCTTAAAAGGAATGGAAAAGAATGGTAGCAATGAGCCGACGAAAAGGCTCCTGCGCAACGGACACTAAGTTAATCAGGAGTGCAAGAGGATACCTGTTCTTCTACCCAATACAGATCCGTGAATAGCGTGGCCGGGAGCCAACCGCTCGTCAGCAAACTTCACTCTCCGGTCACCCATTATATCCACCAGTTTCTATTTAGAACCAGAAAAATACAACAATAAAATATCCGACGAACAGCTAGTTCCGCTTCGCTGCGTGTGAAGATACGGATAAAAACCGACAGCTCCTTGAAAACCTACTAGAGCTGGAGAATAGGTGCTGGGAGAGTGATGCCTGGAAATTGGAGAGTGAAGCAATCAGGCTGGCCTGAAGTTCCTCCTGAGAGAGTGGTCCAGCAGAAAGGCGGTTCTCTGGTAAGGGAACCCTTGACTCAGCAAAACCTGAACCGAGGAGCCCGACCAACGACGAACCAAACCGCTCCTCCTCTCCAGACCACTTCTCCAGCCTCGGAACCGAACACCAAACATTTTTATAGGGGACCGAACGAAACCAGTCGGTACGGGACCGGACCTTTTTCCACTCATCTTTTTATCTTGAGCCTTCGGGAGTGGAGGAACTCCAAGTTCCCCCTTCAACACGAAAGCGCTTACCTGGAAATCGTTAAGCAAAATGGGGCACCGTAAAAGCCCGAAAGAATGCGCTTGTAGATTCGGCTCGTATTCACACATGCTTCCAAACCAGCGCTGCCATGCATCTTTTTGTACAGCTCGAAACCGCAGTCGGTCCGGCAGCAGTTGGGAGCGCAATGCCGGCGCGCAACCAAATCGTTTCGTTGAATGCCCCATCCAATGAGTCTACCCATACTTCTGATATTTTTGGCTTGGTGTCCGAAGTCCCAAACCATTTGACCACTCTCCTCGCGTTATTAGCTTATCGAGTGACAGAAACGCAGCATGTAACGTTTGTCATCAATAATGTGCTCTTCAGCAAATTTGACATGTACCGTATATTCCATCAGCCCACCCTGAGAATCGGCTAATTTTCATCCAACATTGCACCTGCCACCATTTCCCACTCAGGGGAGCATGGCACCCATAGCTACTACTATAAACATCATAAGAATATGTGTGTACCAAATCCCTATACCCATCCCTATTCCAGCAGCCTTAGAGGCTGCTTGGTAGATTCCCAATAAATACCTACATTGTTCCTGGGTAGGATTGTTCTGCACCACTTCGGCCACCCCCTTGAAGTCACACGCCCCACCTGATTGGTTATTCAGCTGGAAATAGCTGTTGAACGCATAGGTCGCAACCTTTGAAGTACTACCATTAAAGTAACACGACCCTCCAACCTGTGCAGGTGTGCAATCCGAAGGCTTCGTATCCCCACACGCGTACGTCACTGCTTCGGCCAATTTCTGCGGGTCCGCATCCTCCTTGGCCACACACCACCGCCCGGGGTACAGCACAATTCCTGTTGCGTTTTTCAGAGTGACATTCTTCCCGCCGCCCGTCAAATCCAACGGGTATTTCGGGGTCCCGTCCGCGCGGAAAATTCCCCAATGCCTCTCGAACGGGCCGGCTAGAGTAATCTTCCGGTCTTCGTCTGAAAGCGCGAAAAGGTATCCACTCAGGATTTGATTCGGGCGGGCGGGTGTGCCTGTTCCTGACAACATGTGGGCTAGGATTGCCTGGTTGAAGCGATATGCGTTGTCCACTGTGGCGTAGCCCCTCATGTCACCCTGGCCGTCGGATGGCCACCCGATCTCGCCAATCTCGATCGGCAGCTGCAGAGAGAAGGAGAAGTGGGAGGGACGGGGGGTGCGGAGGGGGGGTTGGGGGGTGTGGGGAGGGAAGGTGGGGGGGAGTGGGGGTGTGAAAGTGTGGTGAATGAGGGTGGAGTGGATAGTGAGAGGGGCTTATGGAGCGAAGTTTGTGGGTGGGCATGGGAAGGGAGGAGGAACAGGGCAAAGGGATGAGGGAGTCAAGGAGGGAGGGGGAGGAGACAAAACAAAGTAGGGTAGAAAGCTGAAAGTGAAGTGAAGGGAGGAGCCCACAAATAAGAGTGTGGTGAAGTGAAGTGAAGTGAAGTGAAAGTCTGGTGGGCATATAAAAGTGTGTAGGCGAGGAGAAAGGAGCCACAATGAGCCCACAATGAGCCCACAAAGAGCCCACAATGAGCCCACAGTGAGCCCACTTATACCCCACAACCAACGCCACACCCAGCCTCAGCTACCACTCACATCAACACATCTGATCTTATCCGGAGTGGCCATCACAGCATCAAACGACCACAAAGATCCCGCAATGATCTGCACATTCAGCCCCTGCCCCACATTCAGCCCCACACTCAGCCCCACAAGCAGCCTCAGCCTCCACTCACATCGCCATAACCGATCTTCTCCAGAGCAGCCACCACAGCATCAAACGCCCCGTCGAAAATGTTGTCGTATTTCAGCCCGCTCTTCGGGTCCTTGAATTGCCACGCCTGCCCGCCAGGCTGCCCCAAAAAAACCTGGTTCAGCCCGATCGCCCCCGTCGTGTCCTGATGCAGCGTCAGGAACGGGTAGATATTTATCGAGAACGTTCCACCTGACTGCTTCAAAATATCTGCAATCGCGGTGATATCCTCCAAAATATCCCCTCGAACCTCGCCCGAGGACGGCGGGTAGGAGCTCCCGAGAATATCCGCGTTAAGAGGCACGGTCAGCTTGATTTTGTCGTCTAGTTTGGCGTCCTGTAGCGCACTGTACATGTTTCGCATCGCCGGCACCACTGCTGACTCGTACATGCCCTGATAGCCCTGAAGGAACGGCTCGTTCCCCACTGCTATCTCCCTGCAAGCAGAGGGGGTGAGGGGGAAGAGGGAGCAAAGCGAGGTGTGATTTGGGAGGTTCGTACACGCCCTTGGTAGCCCTGCTCTGCAGGAACGGCTCGTTGCCCACTGCTATCTCCCTGCAATCAGGGATGAGTGAGTGTTGGGGAAGGGGGGTGCGAGTGGGTAATGGGGAATTGAGGGAGAGTGACTCGCGAGGGACTCGTACATGCCCTGGTAGCCCTGCAGGAAGGGCTGGTTCCCCACGGCTATCTCCCTGCAATCAGGTGAGGAAGGGGGGAAGAGGGACGAGAAGGGGGTAGGGATGAGATATAAGGTCATCCAGGGAGATCGCACTGTACAAGCTACGCATCGCCGGCACCACTGCTGACTCGTACACGCCCTGATAGCCCTGCAGGAATGGCTGGTTCCCCACGGCTATCTCCCTGCAATCAGGGAAAGAGGGGAGGGGAGAGTGACGGGGGAAATGGGGGGGAAAGGGGGAAAGGGTTCATTCAGAAGCCTCGTACATGCCCTGGTAGCCCTGTAGGAAGGGATCGTTGCCCACTGCTATCTCCCTGCTCCCAGAAGAGGAGGAAAGGGGAGGGGAGGGGAGGGGAGGGGAAGTGGGAGAGAGTGAGGGAAGAGGATGGGAGGGGGGAGAGAGTTTGGGGAAGGTTGACGAGGTTGAGGTATTCGATATGCAGCATCACCGCCACCTCGATGCCCGTGCCCACCAGCATGAGGCATACCTGATGATGCATGGTGTTTTGGGGAACTACCAAAAACACCCCCCAAGGCACGTACCTGATGTTTGGGGGTGTTTTTTTATTCATTTATTGAAAGACACCCCGCATCGGCAGTACCTGATGTTGGCTCCCTTTGGGAACACGAAGGGCGACACGTTGTTGCTGAGCCACTTGGTCGCCTCCTTCTGCGAGCCGGCGATGAGGTTGAGGTATTCGTTCTGCAGCATCACCGCCACCTCGATATCCGTGCCCACCAGCATCAGGCATACCTGATGTAGGATGATGTTTTGGAGAACTTCCAAAAACACCCCGCATGACACCTACTTGAAGTTGGAGGGTGATTTTGAGATTAATTGAAAAAAACTCCCCGCATCGGCAGTACCTGATGTTGGCCCCCTTGGGAAAGACGAAGGGAGAGACGTTGTTGCTGAGCCACTTGGCCGCCTCCTTCTGCGAGCCGGCGACGAGGTTGAGGTACTCGTTCTGCAGCATCACCGCCACCTCGATGTCCGTGCCCACGAGCGCGCGCAGGATGTCCACGTCAGCTCCGAACAGCTTCAGCCGCTTGATGCCGTTGTCCTGAACCGGGGGATTGCAGCGAGGGATGATAGCAGCAGAAGACAAGAGTGAAACGCGTATATTGGATTCCTCCTAATGCGAACGGCTTCAGCCGCCTGATGCGGTTGTCCTGCGAGGAACTGAGGAGTATTTAGCCACTGTGCAATTCATGAACTATGTACTCTGTAGCAGTCCCCACGTATGCGTGAACCTACTTGAAGCAGCTTCACGACGGCTTTAGGCGGCATCTGCTGCCACGAGTTGCGGCCCCAGCACACGCCGATGGGCTGGGAGAATGTGTCGGCGGCCGCAGGCTGCACGCCGATCGTGCTGCTCGCCGCGGCGAGAAGCAGTACCGCGGTAGCGAAGCAGTGCTTGATGGCATGATTCGCGAAAGAATACGCCGACGGCTTACTGCAGAGAGATCGCCAGAACGTGTGTCGCAGAACCATGATGGGCTAAGCTGGTTAGAGATAAGACTAGAAATATGTTATTGATAGTAATGCGCCTCGGTCTAAGGAGAGAACTTAAGTCCCTTGGGAGGAATATTAGTTCTCAAGATCTGCCTAGAGTTCGTTACTGAATGCGTACTCAACACAGGGTAACACCGGGGCTTCTGGATGCCTGAGCACAAGGTATACAGAGGTAGCACGAGACGTACTACTAACAGAACTCCTAATGCTCGCTTGGACAGGAGTCCACAAAAGGAAGAAAAGGAAACGGATGTATTAGGAAGACGGCGGGCTGGGTTCATTCGACAGCACCAAGGTCGGTCGGAAATCGAGGTGCTTTCCAGTAGTAATCACCACCTCATTGATTGATTGTCATGAAATGTGCGTCGAGGTAGCTAGCAAGGCCACCCCCTTGGTTCCGACCGTTTTCAGGGAGTCCCAAAATGCAAACCAACCTCGAGATTTGCTGAGGAGCGCCTGTCTGATGCGAGTCACGCGACCTCGAGTTTCCCCAAATCCAAAAGCAGACTGGAAGGTTCTGATATCGAACCGCGCATGTCTTTTCCCCATCGACTGCAGCACCTGCCGAGGCGCACAGCCTCGGCTCGGCTCTGCGACGGTGGCCTGAGTCGTCTGACGACGGTTGGGTCGCTGACCGACATTTTTACCGGACATGGAGGTCTGGTGTACTAAGGGGGACGAAAGTGTACCATATTCTTTGTAACATTCAGAACAGATCAATATTCATCATTGTTTGTGCCAAAGTTTCAGTAAACATGGCATTATGACAACACCGGTTTACAGGACAGAAGTTACATAAATTGCACGTTACACCGTTCAGAGGTCCTCGCCTAGCAAGTTGATGACGGTATTGACGTCCTTGTCTCCACGGCCGCTAAAGCACACAATTACCTTGGTGCCATCGGCCAGCTGAGGGCAGAGGTACTCCAGGTATGCCAACGCATGGGACGTCTCCAGAGCCGGGATGATGCCTTCCAACCGCGACACACGCTTGAATGCTGCACAAGAACCACCAAGGGAAAGGGACGGAATAAAAGAAGTGTTTTGAGACGGTCTCAAAACATCGGCCAGCTGAGCTCAGAGGTACTCGAGGTATGCCAACGCATGGGACGTCTCCAGAGCCGGGATGATGCCTTCCAACCGCGACACACGCTTGAATGCTGCGCACCAACAAGCAAGGCACAGATGAGAGAAGAATACTACCATGCAGGGCCTTGTCATTGTCATCCATGACACTCAGTACTCTGCCCGCTCCATGGCCTTGGGAAAACCTCATTGGAATGCTCTCCTTCCCCACTTGCCTTCCCTTACCTCGCAGTGCTCATCGTCTGTCAAACTGAAGTACTCTGCCTGCCAAATGTCCTTGAGGAAGCTGTGCTCACTGCTCAGGGCCCTCAGGGTGAATCGGTTTTTGAGACATTTAAAGAGTCCTCCCCCCCATTGCCCTCCCTTACCTTGCAGGGCGTCACCGTCCGTCACACTGAAGTACTCTGCCTGCCCAATGTCCTTGAGGAAGCCGCAAGTGAGTGCATCTCCCCACCCTTGCCAGCGCCTCGTCGTCATTCACACTCTGCCCGCCTAAGAGAGCTCCCCACGATGCATCTCCCCACGCTCCCCTCTTACCTTGCAGGGCCTCGTCATCAGTCACACTGAAGTACACTGAAGTACTCTGAAGTACTCTGCCCGGCCAATGTCCTTGAGAACGCTGTGCGCCAGGCCCACTCCGGCCTCCTCCCCTCTTGCCCCCCTCTCCCTACCACATGTCCCTGAGGAAGCTGCACTTGAGTCAATCTACCCCCCAGTGCCCTCTTACCTTGCAGGGCCTCGTCGTCAGTCACACTGAAGTACTCCGCCCGCCCAATGTCCTTGAGGAAGCTGTGCTCCGGGCCCACCCCGGGGTAGTCAAGGCTGCAAAGCGCAGGGCAGAAAGCGGAGAGGGCAGAGAGGAGGGTGTGAGAAGGGAGTGGGATTTGGGGGAGCTGTGTTTGGGGCCCACTCCAGGGTAGTCAAGGCTGCAAACAAAGGACAAACGAAGAGGGCAGAGCGCGAAAGGTGAGGGGAAAGTGGGACTCGGGGAAGCTGTGCTCGGGCCCTCTCCGAGGAAATTAAGACTGCAAAGCGGAGAGCAGAGAGGGAGGTGAGAAGATGGTGAGCATGGGGAATCGACGTCCAAGGCGGACCCACAACCCGCTCGTGTTCAAAGTGTAGTTTTGAGACGTCTCAAAACTGCTCTTCAGACAGAGAGGGAGGTGAGAAGATGGTGGGCATGGGGAATCAACGTCCAAGGTGGATCCACGCTCACTCGCTCCTACCCATATCAACCCAACGACAAGCTCACTCCCCCCGCGCTGATGCTGTGGAGTTCAATGATCTGCCCATCCGCGCGCTGCAGCAGGTAGCTCATGGCGCCGTGCAGCAGGCACACCTCCCCCTCCTCCACCGCACACACACACAGAGTAACTCCCAGACACCCAGCACTGCTGCTGCTGCTGCTGCTGCTGCTGCTGCTGCTGTGATCCCATCCTCCCCCAACCCCCCTCCTCCACCCCACGTAAACACACACTTGCTCCCAACCGCCAAGCACTCACCCGGTGCTGATGCTGTGGGGTTCAATGATCTGCCCACCAGCGTCCTGCAGCAGGTGGCTCATGGCACCATGCAGCACATGCGAGCACGAATTCCATCCCCATCCCCAGTCAGTCCCAGTTACCACGTTACTCACCCCGCGCTGATGCTGTGCGGCTCCATGATCTGCCCACCAGCGTCCTGCAGCAGGTAGCTCATGGCGCCGTGCAGCACGCCCACCTCCCCCTCCTCCTCTAACACACACGAATACACAGTCGCTCCCACTCAACTCGCCCCACCTACAAACCCACTCACCCGGCGCTGATGCTGTGGGGTTCAATGATCTGCCCATCGCTGTCCTGCAGCAGGTAGCTCATGGCGCCGTGCAGCACGCCCACCTCCCCGGCCGTCAGAGTCGCCGCATGCTTGTCTGTGTGCACACCGTGCCCCGCCGCCTCCACGCCCACCATGCGCACGCCCTCGTCCTCCACGAACTCGTGGAACAGCCCCATGGCGTTCGACCCTCCTCCTACGCACGCCACCAGCACATCGGGCAGGCGGCCGAATTTCTCAAATGACTGCTTCTTGGCCTCGCGACCGATGATGGCCTGAAGTAAAGGGGCAGGGCGGCAATTAAGAGGAGAAAAATCAGGGAAGCGGAAGGGGGGTAGGAAGGAGGGCGGAGGGAGGCATGGAGGGTGGGTGTTGCCATCTCATGAGTGCCCCGCCGCCTCCACTCCACGCCCACCATGCGCACGCCCTCGTCCTCCACGAACTCGTGGAACAGCCCCATGGCGTTCGACCCTCCTCCTACACACGCCACCAGCACGTCCGGCAGGCGGCCAAACTTCTCAAAGGATTGCTTCTTCGCCTCCCGACCAATAATGGCCTGACAATTTCAGTGGAAACAAGAGACAGGCGGAAGAGAGGGTAAGTGATCTCATGAGTGCCCCGCCGCCTCCACGCCCACCATGCGCACGCCCTCGTCCTCCACGAACTCGTGGAACAGCCCCATGGCGTTCGACCCTCCTCCTGCGCATGCCACCAGCACATCAGGCAGGCGGCCGAATTTCTCAAACGACTGCTTCTTGGCCTCGCGACCGATGATGGCCTGAAGTAAAGGGGCAGGGCGGCAATTAAGAGGAGAAAAATCAGGGAAGCGGAAGGGGGGTAGGAAGGAGGGCGGAGGGAGGCATGGAGGGTGGGTGTTGCCATCTCATGAGTGCCCCGCCGCCTCCACTCCACGCCCACCATGTGCACGCCCTCGTCCTCCACGAACTCGTGGAACAGCCTCATGGCGTTCGACCCTCCTCCTACGCACGCCACCAGCACATCGGGCAGCTGACCGAATTTCTCAAAGGATTGCTTCTTGGCTTCCCTGGCGATGATGGCCAGACGGGCAGGAAGTAAGGAAATTTTGAGAGGGCGGAAGGAGGAGAGGCGTGGAGTGGGTGGGGTTAGGAGGGAGGAGGGGGGGGACGTGATTATGAGTGCAATGAAGGAAAAGAACCATAGGGCTGCATGCAACAACTCAGTTCCAACACACACGAGAGGGGTGGTCAGTCAGACGCATCCGACTAAGGCGGGAGGGCGAAAGGCCGAGAGGATTCTTGACAGAGGAGAAAGGGAAGGTACCTGGAAGTCGCGGACGATCATGGGGTAGGGGTGGGGGCCGGCAGCAGAGCCGAGGATGTAGTGGGTGGTGTCCACGTTGGTCACCCAGTCGCGGATCGCCTCTGACGTGGCGTCCTTGAGCGTGCGCGTGCCACTGTGCACGGCGCGCACCTAGACACGTGGAGGGATGGACACGTGAAGTGAGGGGAAGAGGGTGAAGATGTAAAAAAATCATGGTGGGTGATGGTGAGTGATAGTGGGTGATGGTGGGTGATAGTGGGTGATGGTAAGTGATAGTGGGTGATGGTGGGTGATAGTGGGTGATGGTGGGTGATAGTGGGTGATGGTGGGTGAGATTGGCAGATGTGATGCAGAGGTTCACGTAAAAGTATGACTTCAACTCTTGCCCTCCCCAATCCACGCTCTCTCCACACAGCGCTCACTCCACGCCCTACGCCCCTAACAACCCCCTCCTCCGCCTCTCCCCATTCCGCTACTCCTTACCCCCAGTTCAGCCCCCATTCCCTCTATCCCTCACAATTCACCCCCCCCCACCCTTCCTCCCCCAACTCTCCCCTCCCCTCCTCCCCCCAATTCTCCTATCACCCCCAACCAACCCCCACCCCCCTTTCCCCGCACCTCTGCGCCCAGCAGGCGCATGCGGAACACGTTGAGCGCCTGCCGCCTCATGTCCTCCGCGCCCATGTACACGATACAGTTCAGCCCGAAGCGCGCGCACACCGTCGCCGTCGCCACGCCGTGCTGCCCCGCACCCGTCTCCGCGATGATGCGCTTCTTGCCGATGCGCTTCGCCAGGAGCACTTGGCCAATGGCGTTGTTGATCTTGTGCGCGCCCGTGTGGTTCAGATCCTCCCGCTTCAGGTACACGTGCGGGCCGACGCGGCGCGAGGGGTCCGCGGGGTCGGGGCGCGAGTAGTGCTCCGTGAGGCGCTCCGCGAAGTAAAGCGGCGACTCGCGACCCACGTAGTCCTTGAGGATCGACTGGAACTCCGCCTGAAATCATTGAGACGAACGGGGGAGGGGAGGGGAGGGGGTAGGGTGGGGAGGGGGAGAAGGGATGCTAAGAAAAATGGAAATTGCGACCCACGTGGTCCTTGAGGATCGACTGGAACTCCGCCTGGAAAGGAACGCGGGGACGATGCTGCTGAGAGACATTGGAGTGAGGAGAAGGCGATTGAGACCCACGAAGTCCTTGAGGATCGACTGGGACTCCGCCTGGGGAGGAGCCCTAGATGGGAAGGGGAATGTTGAGAAGTGGAAAGGAGGCGATCGTGACCCTACCTTGAAGATTGCTTGAAACACCGCCAGCGAACGTGAAGGGATGCAGGGTTCGTTTTCACTGGCGAATATAGTTCCACTTAGACATGATTTTATTTTACAATCGCAATTCAGGGCTCACAGAAAGTCCCCAGTGCGATCAGCATCATACCTGAAATGCGGGATCCTGGACTGTCTCGTTGTAAACCTTCTCGAGATTATCCAAAGCGGCCATGAGGGTCTCTGGAACGTACTTGCCGCCGAACTGGCCATAGCGGCCGAACGAGTCAGGGCGCGCAAGATCCTTCATCTGGTGGGATTCAGAGGGTTTAACGAAGGAACGATAAGTGGCAGGTCAATGTTGAAGAGAATTCCGCTTTTTTATGAGGCAGGAAGACCAATATTTTCCCAAAATAAGGGAATCGCGACGATCGGATGCGCAGCAGCTCAACGGTAAATTGGAAATGTCAAGCCGCATTTGCTGACGGGTTTTCTCTTTTCGCTGTTCTCGACCTCAACGAATCATCGGAGATGCTTGATGACTAAGTTGAATGACTTTCGCTGGCTACTCAAACTAAAATAGAAAACATCTTGAGACCTGTCTTCAGTATTCTCCGTGGTGATGACCTAAGGACTACGAAACGTCTACCTTTGGTGAGTCAGCAGCCGCTGACTTGATCTCCGCTACAGCCCTGACCTTCGCCGTCCCGCGAACGCTCTTCGCGAGCTTGCTAAAACTAGCGGAGTGGCTCACGGGTTGCCATCCCACGGTTCGCCGTGAGCTGGACGCGGACAGACCAGACTGACACGTTGACAATGCAGCAGCACGGACCGCAGACGCTTCAATGGCCGCCATGATAGTGTTCGGAAGGGAAAGACGCTTTTTGAACACTAAAGGGGCTGAAGATCACTACGCGGATGCCACTCAAGCAAGGACGAAGCTGCACGCGCTCCTACTTGCCGCCAAACTCGGCTAGCAATGACTTCGAGAAATGCAAAGAAATGGGTAAGTGGAGAAGAAATAGGGGAAGAGCTGCTTTCCAAAAATGCTGCTGTGCACTGCAGTTGGGGAGGAAAGAGCGGGGGGGGCGGAAAACGAGGGAGTTGGGGGAGCTTGGGGGACGGTTTGTGGGGAGTTTGGGCGCATAAATGGTTCAACAACAGAAAGCCACATCAGAGCAACATCAGTGCTGATTGTCAATCAGCAAAAATACTGCTGACCAATCAGAGGAGCCTCGCTTTCGACAATTCTCTTGGTTTTGCCCCACGTCTCGCCAGTAACTCATACTCTTCGCATGGCTCCAATCTGGTTTCGCCTGCTTAGCGAAATATTTCCTGAAAGCCTTTCTGAGCATGTATGTAGTGGTGGGGGGGTGCTGCTGCACCAATCATGGGTGGGGATCTGCCTGACATCCCCAAGACTGGCCGTCTAGAAGTCAGATTTGGTAGAATCTGTGTTGTCGAAGTTGAGAGGATCGACGGTTCGTATGTTTCCAGATTGAATTTGCTCCACCCAACCGATAGGATTCACACTAGGAAAAGCTTGGGAATAGACTTGGATCCAGGAAGGAATAATTCACTTGTGTAATGCAAGTAGCATACTATCAGGCTTGCCTTTTATAGGAGGCCCGTGAACCCGCAGTGGGAAGAGCTGTTTTAAGATTCCATCAAGCAGTATTGTTTCTGTGCTCAGGCGATGATACTAGAAGAATAAGCCACAATGGCGAGGCAACGGAAACCGATAAGGACTAACAGTGGAAAGAAAGGAGGACGCTTAGCTGCTTTCAAATGCTGCATGATATCGCTTGCACTGATTGCGATCGTGTGCATTCCTCTAGGTTACTGGAGAATCCATAGACGAGGTGAGCTTTCACTGGACTGCCCTGGACTTATCTGCATTTTAGATCGGATAATAGCTGGAACGATAATGTACTTCCCTATTTCTGGTTTGTGGTCTCAGGTCAATTAGCAGCAGAAGCTCTATCGTCTAGACGCAGCCTAAACGAGGTAATTACGGCATTGCGAATTTACCACGATATACAAGCAGCTGACTTTTCTGGCTTAGAACCTCGTCAACAGTCCACTGATTTGAAAATGTTGCCGAGCGTTTCCTTTTGCAGGAACCTGTTTTGAACCCTACAGACTTATCTCAAGGTGAAGCTTCATTCAGTTACTTACTTGACGCTGTTTTGCAGAATGTGCTGCTATTCTACTCCCAAATGTTGGCACTCCATCGCAATGCGGGTTGCGTCTACTTCTTGATTTCTCAACATTTCCTTGCAACTTTCCTAAATCTTGTCCCCCTGCTAACCACGTGACTTAAAATTCGCAGAATCTTCGCACGTTGACGTTCAACGGCCTGAAATTCATTCTAACGATGCATCTGGAGGCGAATCTTTCGTGTTGACAGAACGCCAGAACTCAGATGCAACTGACAGACCTACCTTTAGTAGAGCTTCGGACGAAGCAAATGCTGACAACGATGACGTCCAAGGGCAGAACTTTGACTCATCGGAAGATAGAAAGGCGATGACTCAAAGTTCCGAGTCAGGTGGTGATGGTGGTTTTGGCGGTGATGGTGGCAATAGAGGTGGTGTGGCTGCTGAAAGTAGTGGTGCTGGGGGTGATGATGGTGTTGATGCTGGTGGTGGAGATGGAGAGAGCAGTAGCTTACATTCAGCCAGCAATGATGCTAAGGCGGATGACAATGGCCACGAAGAATTGGAAGATACCCAGCGGAAAAGGCCGCTAGATTTGGGGATCCAGATGGTTCCAGAACGTGCGGAAGGTGCGGATGGCGATAGAGAGAAGAGCTTGGAGACGAATGGTGCAGAGAAGGAGGAGAGTGATGGGGAGGATGGAGCCACGGACGAGGAGAGTGAGGATGGCGGGAAGAAGAAACGGAGGAGAAAAAAGAAGAAAAAGAAGAGACCTTCCAAGAAGAGGACAGGAAACAGACGTAAGTGCTTCAACTCTTCTTCTGCTCATTTACCAACGGCTTTCTTCCCCCTTGCCACTCCCTATAATCTCAAGAATTGTCATCAGTGAAGCTCGCTTCGTCCCTTACTGGACATACTCGCCCAGTCCACGTTACTGAATAAATGAGGCAGAGTGTAATTAGTCACATGATCTTCTAAGCCGCAATCCACTTCCTCAAAGTCTCAATAACTACTTCCCGTTCCCCTGATACCCCTCCCAACCCTCAAAATAGCTTGCGAGGTTGACTACTTAGAGAGTGGAGACAGCGTGCAAGTACCAGACTTGGAGGGACCCAACCCCACAACCCCTCACTACGTCACCATGGAGCATCCCCCTGCTGCCGACTCCTCCTCCTCTTCCTCCTCTGCGCTCAGCCTCCTCGGCCGCTCCTCCAACACGTGGGCCCCACGCTTTGCTGGCCACCAGACGTGGCGACAGCGCGCTGACTCGTTCCGAGCTGGCAGGGCTGACTGGCCGCCAGAGGCGCAGGTGCACTGCGGCTTTGTGCAGTCGCCACCCGGCTGGCCGGGGACGGGGTTTGACATCTCCAAGGCGGATCAGATGTACTTGGAGCAGTGCCGCATTGCGGTCGTCTCGGCTATCTTTGCAGACTGGGACCACCTCAGGCTGCCTCAGCGCTCCAAGGTGAGACCTCTGAAAGGCATGCTCTTTATGTCTGTGCTTATTTCAGACGAGGCATCAGTGAAGGGGCTGGTCGGGTCGAGGAGAACATCTTCCCTTCATGCCAAAAGGCAATGTGGGATTCCAGTGGCTGTCTCTAGGTGGTTAGACTAATCTCGCTCTCTCTCTCTCCCTCTCACTGCCCCTCTCCAGATCTCCGTGACAGCCAAGCGCAAGGCGTGTTTTGTGATATTCGTGGACGAGCAGACAGTGAGGGGGCTGTACAGGGACAACCTCATTCCTGATGCCAACGGCAAGGTGGGGCTGTGGCGCGTGGTGGTGGTGGCCCACCCGCCCTACTCGGACGCGCGGCGCACAGGGAAAATACCCAAGCTGCTGACACACCGCCTCTTTCCCAACGCCAAGTGAGTGTGTGGTGCGCCTTTGAGGTCGTGAGTTGAGGCCCTTCAGATGTGTGGTGTTGATGCAGTGCCTGTCGCTTTGATGACTAGTGAATGCATATTTAAGTGAAACGAATGCGAGCACATGGACGAAGTGAACCTGCTATCCTCATTGTTCTCTCTCTTCAGTACCACAGCTACCCCCTGCCACCACCGGTGACAGTACGATTGCTACCGCTTGCCTCCACGCTTCCCCACTGTCGCCCGCCCAGGTATTCCATGTGGATTGACAGCAAGCTGCGGCTCTTTGTGGATCCTCTGATCATCTGTTGATCAATGTTTGCTATCCATTGTGGTGTCACCCTTCCCCCTGTCGCCCCCACTCCCCACTGTCTCCTGCCCAGGTATTCCATGTGGATTGACAGCAAGCTGCGGCTCTTTGTGGATCCGCTAGCCATCCTGGAGCGGTTTTTGTGGCGGGGAGGGTTTGAATATGCCATTTCCAACCACTACGACCGGCACTGCGTGTGGGAAGAGGTGAGGAATGGAGGGCAGTGAGGAATGGTACAAGGTGAGAGTTTGGTTTGGGAGACATGGAGGTGAGACATGGAGATATTGAATCCGTGGGGCGATGAGGAGTTGTACTCTGTCCCGCAACAGGAGTGAGAGATTTAATCTTGTGTGCTGTGGCGTGCTGTTGCATTTTGTGGGATGACATGGCATGGCATGGTGTGGTATGGCATGGAACGCGTTGTATGGCTTGGCGCGGCATGTCACGGTCGGTGCATGGCATGAGTGGTGCACGGCATGAGTGGTGCATGGCATGAGTGGTGCACGGCATGAGTGGTGCACGGCATGAGTGGTGCACGGCATGAGTGGTGCATGGCATGAGTGGTGCATGGCATGAGTGGTGCATGGCATGAGTGGTGCATGGCATGAATGGTGCATGGCATGGCATGGCATGGCATGAGTGGTCACTGGTCAGGTGGAGCGCAACAAGAAGCTGGGCAAGTACAACGCGACGGTCATTGACGAGCAGTTTGAGGCATACAAGGCAGATGGGCTCACCATGTTCAACCCCTCTGACCCCAACAACCTGCTCATCAGCAGTGAGTGTGGACGCTTTTCAATTCATCTTTATAAACACAGGGCCAACGGGCTTTCACCATGTTCCAGCGCTCCTGAGTTCACTCGAACCCCACCCCAAAGCTCTGTCACACATCATGCCTCTGCTCTTTACCCCCTGCTCCCCATCCCCCTGCTCTACCATCGCCCCCCCTATGCTCCCCGCCCTTTCCAGATGTGCCAGAGAGGGGGGGTGATCATATGGACGCACAATCAAGCTTCTCAATCCCTCATCTGATCCCCACCTCCTTGCTCTACCACTCCCCTGTGCTCCCTTGCTCCTCTCAGACGTGCCAGAGGGGTCAGTGATCATAAGAGCGCACACAGCTGCCGCCAACCTGTTCTCGTGCCTCTGGTTCAACGAGGTGGACCGCTTCACCTCCCGCGACCAGCTCTCCTTCGCCTACACGTACCACAAGATGGCCCGTACCTCTCACCCACTGAGGTTGAATATGTTCAAGGTGAGTCAATGCTTTCAATGCAGTCAGTGCAGTCAGTGCATTCAATGCAGCCAACGATCGGCTCAGAAAACTTGACCAGCTCTCCTTCGCCCACACATCAAGATGGCTCGCTCGTGGCACCCACTCCGGCTCAACATGTTCAAGGTGAGTGGCTTAATGCAGTTAATGCAGTCAACGATTACTGGGTCGGCTCAGAAATGCAACCAGGTCTCCTTTGCCTACACGTATGTCAAGTTGGCCCGCACCCCTCATCCGCTCCAAGGTGAGTGTGTTAATGCAGTCAATACAGTCAACGCCCTTCAATGTAACCACCCTTGGCTCGAAGGGCTGTATTCACCGGTGCTTGAACAGGGCTGCCAGATCTCTGTGCTGCATGAGAAGAACTGCCAGCAGGGTCCTGGTTATTTATTTGGTGGTGTGTTTTGTAAGGCGCCTCAAGGTACGGCTATTTCACCTGAATATTCAGTTGACTCAAAAGCCAACTCCTGGTTATCCATGTGGTGGTGTGTTTTATAAGGCGCCTCAAGTTACGGCTATTTCACCTGAATATTCCTGGTGCATGTGTGCAGGACTGTGAGCGGCGGTCGTTTGTGAAGCTCTTTCACCACAAGGCTGAGGAGGCAGCACTCAAGCTCGAACGAGGCAGAGCTAGGTAGTTGGTGGACTATCTTCTGATGGGTAATACCAAGATCTGCGTGTCGCGGCCTCGTTTATGAGTATTCTCATGTTTCTAATGTACACCATAGACTCCAGTGTCATTAAGATATGTGTCCATTGCAGGTGGTTCAGTTAGAAATTATGTTTCGTTCCAAGCTGGTGGAATACCAGTACCTGAGATCAAACATGGATGGAGGCACCACGTGTAAGGATTTACAAATCCTTACTGAGGCACTCGTCAGCGAGGCCATCCTGAGGGTCATGCGACGAACCTGACCTTCCTATTTCGTCGCACCGAACCACTCCCGAGTCGGCCTCCGCTCCAATCGCAACCATCACCGAGCCATCCCATCCCGAACCCCCCGCCTAGCTAGGTTTCCCCCATTTAGGCCTCGCTACTTCATTGTTTCTTCATTCAGTAATCAGTTCCTTCTCGTTATTCGATATTCTGCGCACTCTGCTAGTTCATTCATAACACCGCGTAATCAACTGGTATCAAGTTACATCCTGTCATCATAAACAGCTGCTATGCTATGGTGCGACAACAACCCGCTTAGCAATGCAAACCAGCCTTATGTGCCGGCAGTAGGTGCAGCAAACTACAGGTTTACAAGTGAAGCTAACGGATTTTGTCAGCAATGGCAGCGCGGTGATAACAATCTATGCCTTTCAAGAGCAGCGGTTGTCTTTCTTCTCACTATAATAGCCACGCTAATCGCAGGCGCACATCTATTCAGTTACTGGTACTTTTCATGGTAAGCCCACAAACTCATCCGAATCAACCTGTGGCCTTTTTGCATACCATAAGATCTCCAACAGAGGTGAGAGTAAATTCCGCTCAAGAATAGCCATCCCCCGCATCTTCCGCCTCTTTCCCTCCTCAACCTCCTGCCTTGCTGTACACCTCGTGAACAAGGCCTTGCCAAAGTGACCTGCAAGTCCCTTCACTCCGCTCCCTCCCTCATCTCATCTTCATCTCCCCTCTTCATCGCCCCTCCTTGGCATACACCTTCTTGCGAATGACCTCTGGCCGGGTCTGCATGTCCCGTCCCGTCGTTCACCCACCAGTCAACCGTATCCTTCTTCCCTCTGAGCACCACTGAGCACCAGTCAACCGTATCTAGCCCCATACACCTCTGAGCACCACTCCCGTTCTGCATGTTCTGCACCCTCTGCTCCCCTGACCATGCCCCCACCTTTCCCTTTCAGAGCATCCCTCATCTCTTCTCCTTGGAATAAACCTTCTTGCGAATCACCTCCAGGCGGGTCTGCATGGTCCCGTCCTTCACCCACCACTCAACAGTGTCTTTCTCGCCATACACCTCCGAGCACCAGTCCATGTCAGCGCCCCGCTTGTGCACGTTCTCAAACCGCTCGTGCCGCACCGACTCCACTGACAGGTCTACGCCTCCTGTTCTTGGATCAACTACCTCGCTCTCCCCCATCAAAAACACCTGCCAGGGCGAGCAGGGAGGTGAAGAGATTGGGAAAACGAGGTTGCTTTGCCGTGTTCCCTCTTGTTCACGTTCTCAAACCGCTTGTCCCCCATCAAGAACACCTGCCAGGGCAGGCAGCAAAGTGGTTGGTTTACAGGGGAGAGAGAGGTAAAAGTAAGGTCACTCTGTCTTGTCCAGTCCGCGCCCCTCTTGCGCACGTTTTCAAACCGCTTCAACCTCCTGCTCTTGGGTGGACCACCGTGCCATGTCTCTCCCACCTTACCTGTGCTCGCAATCTCCTCACATCCAATTCTCACCTTGCCCGTACTAGCCATGATGCATCGGTGCCCCTGGTACCGGTGCAGACGCTGGAATGGAATTCACATGTTTCACTGTGTCCCGCCAGGGAATGTATCGCTCTGTAAGGCAGCTTCTCACCTTGCCAGTGTTGGCCATGATGTATCGGTGTCCCCGGGTCCCCAGGCAGAAGTTGGCTTCCACGGGAGGGGCCATATTGATATGTAAGACATTATGTCCCACTATGCGTCCCCTCTGCTCACCTTGCCAGTGTTGGCCATGATGTATCGGTGTCCCCTGGTCCCCGGGCAGAAGTTGGCTTCCACGGGAGGGTCGCCCTCAGAGCACAGGAAGTGAGGCCAGTGCCACAGCATGCGCTCCTGGGGCATGAGGCCCTTGGTGCGACTGCTCACCTGAGAAAGACATTAAGACAAGGGTGGGCGGGGTGGACAAGACGGCATGTGGCATGGGGCATGGGGCACGGGGCATGGGGCACGGGGCATGGCGCACGGGGCATGGGGCATGGGCATGGGCATGGGCATGGGCACGGGCATGGGCATGGGCATGGGCATGGGCATGGGCATGGGGCTTGGTGGCGCGTCGCGGTGCGAGGTGGTGTGTGGCGGTGTGAGGCGGTGCTGCAGCACAGTGCAATGCTTACCTTTGTTCCCACAGATAGCTTGGTGCCCCAGACTTGACAGCCATACGATAGCCAGGGCACATTGCAATGCTGGGAGAGGAGCTCCGTGAGGGAGGGCGGTGGGAGGATCCGGTGGAACGTGGTACAAAGAGGAGCAGTGTGGTGCAGTGCGGTGCTCACCTTGGTTCCCATGCACAGTTTTGTGCCCCAGACTTGGCAGCCATACGACAGCCAGGGCACGTTGCGGTGCTGGGAGAGGAGCTCCGAGAGGGAGAAAAGTAGCACAGTTTGGTAGAATGTAGTGAAGTGCGGTGCAGCGTGGTACAGTTCGGTGCTCACCTTTGTCCCCATGCACAGCTTGGTGCCCCAGACTTGGCAGCCATAGGACAGCCAGGGCACGTTGCGATGCTGGGAGAGGAGCTCCGAGAGGGAGGGCGGCGAGATGATGTGGAGAATGTCGTCCCAGTCCAGGAATAAGACCCACGAGGAGGTGAGTGTGGAGCGGTAGAGACAGTCGTGCATCGCCATGAGCTGATAGGAAGGAGTGGGGCGTTGACGGAGGGGGTAACAAAGATGGGGGGAGCATGAGGCGAGATGATGTGGCGGAGGATGTGGTCCCAGTTGAGGGAGGAACACAACCCATGAGCCGATGGGGGAGAAGGGGGGAGAAGGGGGGTGAAGGGGGAGGGGAGGAGAGGGGTGTTAAAGGGGGTGAAAACAGGGGGGGGAGAACGAGGCGACATGATGTGGCGGAGGATGTGGTCCGAGTTGAGGAACACGACCCAACCCATGAGGAGGTGAGAATGGTTTGAGCTGTGAACAAATGAGTTGATGCATGCCTGAAGGCGGAGGGCAGAGAGAGGGTGGTGGGGGTGTAAGGCGGGAGGAGATGTGCTGCAGGGTGAGAGGCTCTTAACCCCCCCTTAAACCCCAGAACTCACCTTCCCCTCGGCTTGAACCCTAAAGCGCACCACGTCTCTCGTCAACAGCACTTATAAGGAATTCTCATTCCAAATCTCCCTTCCCTTGGGCTTGACACCACAGCCTCAGAAATCACCTTCCCTTGCGCTTGACACTACAATCTCGGAACTTACCTTCCCTTGATCTTGAAACCACATTCCAGGACGCCCATTCCCTGAGTCTGCTCACCTTGCCGTGAGCCAGAACCTCAAAATGCACCACCACGTCTCGCACCGGCAGCACTTCTAGAAACTTCACTTCACGCAGCGTCGCCCGCTCCCCCCGCCGCCCCCTAAACCCAGACTCACCTTTCCCTGCGCTTGCACCCTGAAGTCACCACGTCTCTCATAGGCAGCACTTCCAGGGACTTCTCATCCGGAAACCCCTTCAATTCACGCTGCACCCAGCCAGTTCCCACTTAACCAGAGACCTATGCACTTGCCTTGCTTCCCGAATCACCTTTCCCTGCGCCTGAACCCTGAAATGAACGACATCCCTCATCGGCAGAACTTCCAGAAACTCCTTCCATTGCACTTCAGCCCAAAATCCCTGGTCTCACCTTCCCCTGCGCTTGCACTCTGAAGTGCACCACGTGCCTCACCCTCTGTCACTGCTCACCTTGCCTTGCGCTTGCACTCTGAAGTGCACGACATCCCTCATCGGCAGCACCTCCAGAAACTTCTCATCCAGAAACTCCTTCACTTCACGCAGCGCCGCCCGGTCCACGCCGCCCGCATCGTACCCAACCACGTGCTCCGCTCCGTACGCCCGGTGCACATGCAGCCAATCCCGGAGCCGCGCCCCGTCCACAGGGTCGGCAATCGGGTACGTGCAGAAAGAGGCTCGGTACGGGTGGGTCGTGGACAGCAGCGCGTGGGTCGGGGAGTCCCGATCCTCCCGATAGAGGATTATATGCTCGTTGTCGATTCCGACAACGAGGTAACCGCCGAGGTTGGTAACCACTTTCCCGCGCAGGTCGCAGCGGATGATGATGGTCTCGTACTGCTCGTGCGGCTCGTCCCGCGGGTAGTGCAGCGATGGGTCGCCCAGTATTGTCACCCCGTCTGCTCCGTGCCATGTGCACGACGTGATCTTAACGAGTGGGGAGGGGGGTTGGGGGAAAAGGGGAGAGGGGAGCGGGATAGGGAATGATGATGCTTCATACTGCTAGTTGGAAGGAGGGAGGGATGGAGGAACGGAGGGAAGGAGGGGGATGGGAGACGGGGGATAGTGAAGACGCAATGGAGAGGACACGGGGGAACTCTGGGTTTCACTGCACATGTTGCTGCCTACCATCACATTCTTATGTGCACTCACCAACCTCCCTTCCCCCCCTGCAACCACGCCTTCCCCACCCACCCGTTACCCCACCATCCCGTTTCCACATTTCTGTGATTATTGTATTCCATGTTACTGCATTCCCCTGTTACCACATTCCCCTGTTACCACATTCCCATGTTACCACATTCCCCTGTTACCACATTCCCCTGTTACCACATTCCCATGTTACCACGTTCCCCTGTTACCACCTTCCTCTAATCCCACCTTCCCCTGTTTCACCTCCCCCTGCTCCAACCTTCCCCTGCCTCACCTCCCCCTGCTCCCACCTTCCCCTGCCTCACCTACCCCTGCTCCCACCTTCCCCTGCCTCACCTTCCCCTGTTCCCACCTTACCCTGTACCCTCCATCCCCTGTTCCCTCCTTCCCCTGATCCCAACCCCCCTGCGCCCACCTTCCTTTGAGGCCGCAGCAGTGTCATGCCAAACCCTACGCCCACCACCACCTTCCCCTTTACTCACCTTTCCCTGCTCCACCTCCACCGGTCCCAACCCCCCCTGCTCTTACCTTCCTGTGAGGCCGCAGCAGCGTCGCGCCAAACCCTACCCCGACCACCACGCCTTCTTGGATCCGATACGCGGACCACTGGACCAATCCGTACGTGCCACGTCCCACCATGCGGTGCTGCCGCCAGTTCTCGTTGCGCACGCCCTCCATGTGCCCCCACGCCGTCAGATTCAGATCCGCCTGGAGCGACGCGCACTGTTCCTTCACGTCGGATTTGATTCGCCGCACGTTCAGGTAGATCGACAGGAGAAGGTACTGCACGGCGAACAGCAGCGTGATGATCAAGATCAACGGCCCAAATTTGCGGATGAATTTAACCGCGTGCGGAGGGATGGGAGGTAGTTGCCCGACCCCGGGGATCACTATAGCGGGTATGCCTCCGAGAGATCCCGGGTTCGATCCTCGGTGTCGGCCTCCTCCGCGGTATTGCCCGGGGCGCTGTGGGGGTCCCGCGCCGGGACCTGAGGCAGGTGGTATTCGGTGTAGGTCGTACTCGCCGACCGGCTGTATTGGCTGCATTTTGAAATGTAGCTGGGTGTGTAATGAACCCGAGTTGAGAGTTCCCGATTTACGCACTCTCCGCTTCCCCGCAGCTTGTGGCTCCTAGGCTTAACGAGACTCTCGGAGTAGGCTGGGCACTTGAGCGAGCGAGAAGAGGTTATAGACGTATGAGCAAGCATCCACGTGGGCTTGATATCGTTGTTTGGAGAATGGGACGTTGTCTGACGACGTTCCTAGTCAAGGCCCGAAACCGCCAAATGCGTTCAAATTCTTGAATTGGAAACAGTGACCAGTGGAGATCGCAAATAGGACCAGTCCCAGTCAGCAGTGTCAGAATAAAAAACCCCACTTGCAGCCAAAAACCAGGTTTACTCTCCACAGCTGTATAAAGCTGTAATACATCTCGGAGGTAGCCTGGAGATTACGTTCTGGTTTTTAAGATGCCTTGATTCGTATGTCTTCTATACATATCGAAGAGTTTCTGTTAACGAAGATACGATGGAATTGATCTGCCGGTCAGCGAACATTCGCGACGAAGCCAACAGAAATCTCGCACCGTCCAACCGAATCACCTTTTCCAATCACTCGCGTTTATCTGCTGATAAATTCACCGAACCGCGAAACCAAACCACAGAGCAGTCATGTCAGACCAGCAATACACGCAGTTGGCGAAATCGGCTCTTTCTTCGAGGTTTCGCGAATTTGACTATCTCCCAACAGACGTACCAGGGCCTGTTCGGTAGCCCTTCCAGTCATACTGCGGTTGGTGCGTGGGATCTTCTGTTTCCTACAATCAAACCAGTTAAAGCCCAACAAACCGTTATTAGAACACCGAGCCCGTCCAGTGCAACTTGTCTACCGAACGCATAAAAGCCCCACTTCAACTGCGTGCAAGGACATTACCACGAAACTGTCGCGCCCAGGCAAACTCGACAGTCAGTGGAAGTCCCTCCCATTCCAGCTTTCCAGTTCAACCCAGGCAGGTCCGCTCAGAGTGGCAGGCTGGAGGGTATACGCTGCACTACTTTCGAATTGGGTCGAATTAAGGTTTTGTAGCCTGCTCTTTCAAACGATGAGAGATCGTGTCCGTTCCTGATTTTCTTTATCCATATCGACGGTTTATCATTTGGCGGACGGATTTTTTGTTTATGGGTGGGGCAGCCTCGTTCAGAAGTAAAGTTTCGGCAGGTAATTTCCCAAAGAAACGCACGGTAACTTCTTGCATTTGGGAACGAGACTTCCTTTCAGTGTGAGTGTAGGCCCTGTTTGGTAGCCTCCCAGTCACACTGGGCCCACTTGAACTGGGGAAGCTTCTGGTACGTTTCGTAGCCTCGGGCCTCCACTCGCACTAGAAAGATGTTTCGTCCATAGTTGCAAGAATTTACCTCGCGTCTGTCAAGAAATTTCAGGCCGAATTTTGCCAGCTGCCCGACCCACAAACAAGAAATCAGTCCGCCAAATGGTTTCCCCTCATTATGGATGAAAGAAAAACGTTGTGTGAGCAGGATCTCTCGTCGTTTCTCATTCGACAGACTAAAATAATTTAATTCATCCCGAAATGACACTAATGCAGCGTATACCCTCAAGCATGCCACTCAGAGCGGGCCTGCCTGAGTGGAACTGGAAAGCTGAAATGGGATCCACTCCCACTGACTTTCGAGTTTGCCTGGGCTCGCCAATTTCGTGGTAGTGTCTTCCCCTGCACTCGGGTGGGTTTGGTGTTCTATTAACGATTCCGTAGGCTTTAAGGTAGTTCGAAATTGGGCCGCGGAAGATCACCTGCACCAACGCAGTGTGTTACCGAGCAGGACCGTAGGGCCGAGGCTACGAAACATGTCGTAGGCTTCCCCAGTTCGATTGGGCCCAATGTGAATGGAAGGCTACCGAACAGGGCCCAGACCTATGCCTTCAGGCGTGGAAAACGAGGCCCGAGCCTGAACACACAAGAACCCAGCACCAATGGCAGGCGGATTCAAGTCAACGCTGGCTGCCGAACCGAACAACTGAGACCACCGCCAAACCCAAACCACCGCCTCTTGGCTGGGTGGTGGAAAGGTAAAAGAGATGAAAGAGATTCACCTTCACCACCACTCCCTCAGCTTCATTCCTAGATTTCATCTTCATGTCCTTGCTCTTCAGAAGTTCGCGTTTTCCAGCAATCTGCAATAAGTGACTAGTCTCAGTCCAGAAAGCTCAGTAGAATCTGTATAAGAGAGTCGTTGTGATTGTCAAGGCTGAGAACCTTATTATCTGCTTCGATATAGTTCACCCTCGAGCATACTTTAGTCTCTCCGTCTGTGAGATTCTAAAGAGCCGTATTAAGAATGAAGCCACTTCCTCCTGATGATGTCGGCCTGGCCAAGATGCGGCTCGTCGTCCTCCCTAAAGCCGAAGCCGACGCTCTAGACGAACTAATCGACGAAGCGTTAGACGCAGCGGACCCGGAGGGAGAGAGCGAGAGAGCATGGCGGCGCTACCAGGATGACCTAGCCAATGAGCTGTCCGCCATGGCCGAATCCTCTGACCACCTCTGGCATTTCTTAGACGGCCTTGGCCGGCGTTTGCTGGAGAAGAAACAGGCTCAGGCGGAGGGCCAGCACAGGCCGCTGAAACGATCTCCCGGGTCCATTTCCCGAGGTACGGAACCGTAGCTGCATCAGGCGTAACACACCATTCGTTAGGAAAATCTGCTGTTGCAATCGTAGCTTGTTTCGGTGCCGCAGCAGCAACGGAACGGAGTTTTCTCGGTTTAAGTGCATCATGTCTCAGCTTGGATACTCCTGAGGAATATCAGTTGCGCTATTCATCCTCCTGCAGACGCAACTGCTTTTTGGCATTCTCGTTTTAACCCTATTTTCCCATCACTCATTCATCCAATTATCCGTTCATTTCCAGGCATTCTGCTTCTCCACGGGTTACTCCGGTCCTGCTCCGCCAATCAGGAGTCGGACGTCTGTAGCATGCTTCTCTCAACGTCAACCCGCAAGGACCGACCTTCCCTCGACCTCCCTCGTCTAGCCCGCCGCCTCCACTACACCGTCCCCGCTCCTTCCACTCCCTCCTCCGCCGCTGCTGCCACGTCAGCCTCCGCCGGTGACGTCAGCGATGACGCGGCGTTGGCCCAGTTCGCGCACGCGTACTGCGTGTATCTGCAGGAGCGGCTTCGGTGCGTGGACAGCATAGGGCTCCAGGTGTTCCGCACGGGAGCGAAATCCGCAACCGGGGAAGCCAAAAACGGGGACATAGTTGCTGAAAACTGCGTATTGGGGAATTCGGAGAGTGATTCGGAGCGGGGGCTGGGTGAAGCGTACTGGGTGCAGCTTCAGTCAGACGCTGTGCTGCACCAGGTGGCGTCGCTTCAGCAGCTGCAGCAACGGCTAGTTGACTGCGCCGCCGCTGCTCCCAGCGGCCTCGGCACAAGCTTCGCAGCACGGAAAACCGCAGCGGGAACAGCGGGGGGTGCAAACGGGGGAGCAGGCGGGCGTGGGAGGGAGGGGGAGGGGAAGGGGGAGAGGGAGAGGCGGCGGCGGGTGGTGCGGTATGTGCTGGAGGTGGCATTGGATGAGAGCTTCCGCGTGTATGGGTGGGTCAACTACGGGCTGATCGAGCTCATGGAGCGACTCAGTCGGTTCCCCAAGGAGCAGGTGAGAGCCACGGGAAAGTTCTGCCGCTGCAGGTCTTCTGTCTTGTCACTGCCCTCGCGAAATCATCCCTCACATCTTCCTTTTTGTTGGCGCTCCCGTGCCCTCCTATGCGCTCACATACCCACCCATGCTCTCCCTTGCTCTCCCTTGCTCTCCTGTGCTTCCCGTCCCCCCGCACCCAGGCCATGCGCGCGCTTCAGGTGTGCCAGTTCTCGGTGCAGCAGGGGAAGGCGCTATCTGACATGTACACGCGCCTGGGGGCGGCAGGGGTGGGCGCAGGTGTGGCCTTCCCCTCCGTGGCAGTGCTGGGGGACGGCGTCATTGGCAACCTCTCTGCCTCCGTTGCTGCAGGCCCGGATGCTGCCATGAGCGTTCCGCCCTCTCCCATGCACTCTGCTGCTGCTGCTGCTGCTGGTAGTGGTGGATTCAGCAGAGCCGGGAGTTTCGCTGATGGCAGTGCTGCTGGTGGTGCTAGTTTCAGAGGTATGGGACCGCCGCCGCCGCCGCAGCAGCAGCAGCAGCAAGCACAGCAGCAGCAGCAGCATCAGCCGAATTTGGACAGGAGTGACTCTCATCGTTCTCTTCCCAACGCCATGGTGCTCTTCACTCCTGTCCCAGGCCAACAACCTGGTCATCCCCAATTTCAGCACCAGCACCAGCAGCAGCAGCACCACCACCACCACCAGTACCAGCAACAGCAGCAGCAGCAGATGGGTTATCAGCACCAGAACCCTCAAGGCCCCAGCCCGTACTACTCCTACAGCGCCTCTCAACCACCACCCCCCCAGCCCGCCAGCCCTGCTCTCTCCCCTGCCGCCCAGCAGCAGCAGTTTGACGACACCGCTCAAGCGCTCTTTGGCTCGTATTCCTCGCAGCCCTCTCCTGCTGCTGCCTCTAATGCAGCCGCGCAGATGAAGTACCTCACGAATGGTGCGCAGGGATGGGAGCGTGCGCTTGATGATACAGCTGGTGCTGCAGGTGGTGCTTCGGGTGGTGCTTCAGGCGGTGTTGCAGGGTCGTACATGCCTCCGAGGCAGCAGGGGCAAGGAGGACAACATGCTCCCCATCTTTATCATCAGCATCATCAGCAGCAGCAGCACCAGCAGCAGCAGCAGTGGGCACTAGCCGCTCCCGGGCTAAATGGTGGAAGCGGTACAGCTGGCAGCAGCCCATTGGATCAACCACCCATGACCGCCTTTTCTGGGGGCTGGGACCAGCTGTTACTGGACAGCCTGTATGAGGCGGCACAGGCACAGAAACACGCCTCTGATGCCACAGCAGCCAGATTGGGAGGAGCAGGAGGCAGTGGTGTAGGCGCTGGTGCTGCTGCTGCTGTTGGTGGTATTGGTGGTGCGATTGGGGATCCTTTTGCGGCTTCTGCTGCGGTCCCGCCGCCGCCGTATGTCCAGATGGCACTTAGAGCGCAGCAGCAGCTGGCTATGGAGCTTCAGAGGCGCATGCTGAGTCAGCACGCGCGGTTTTTTGCGGCAGCGAGGTCGGCGGGAGGGGCGGATGCGATGTTTGCGGCGAGCTGGATGGTGCAGCAGAAGCAGATGCAGGTGTATCAGCAGCAGCAGTACATGGCGCGGCCGGGCGGGGTTGTTGTGGGGCCTTCGGGGCCGTATAACTGGAATGGAGTTGGTGTGCAATATGGGAACGTGCTAATTCCATTCTGAAGATATTGCCTGAACCTTGGGACCATGAATCTATCTGCTCTTCCGTGTGTGACTGTTTCGTTATAAAGATGAAACGCTACTGAACATCTCTTTCCATCCGTCTCACGAGTACGAGGAGAAACAATAGCGGGGTGGGCGTGAAGTTTCGAAGAGATTCGGGTTACGAGTCTCTTTCGCCAGCTGTCGTCCTTCGTCCGGGTTCCACGCTACACATCCGCAAATTCGGGACAATCCGCGCCCAATCAGAAATTTCGAACCACCTCGTCCAAGGTCGGATGCATTCCATTCTCGGAACATCGAACCGCAATGTGCGCTTCGTAATTTGGAAATTGGAATTCGGAAGTTCCAAGGTCAGCCAAAATTAGCATTTCTTGAGCTGCTGCTTCTAGTTAGGTCCCAAAACAACCCTCTCCGAAGCTCCTTCCCATTAGTTCCGCCGTTCTGTCTCTCCGTCCTGATTCCTCGAATAGTATCGACCCACCCATCATTCCTCGCTTATTTCGAACGCATTTCGTTTTTTTTTTTCCCCTTCCACACCAGCACCTGAGGTCGACTTATACCTGACACACCTTAGTTATTTTCAGCCTAGCATCATGAGGTCACGTAGCGTCCCTGTCAGCCTGTGGACGAGGCTGTCGTGGCCCAACCACGCGCTCATCCCGCGCACCACGCTCGCTCTCGCCACATTCTCGCTCTCGCTCACCTGCATCGCCCTCAGCGCCTCCCTCCTCGCCTCCTCTTTCATCCGCTCCTCTCCCCCCCCTGCCTCGCCCAGCAGCACTCCTCATCATGATGCGGCCTCGTCTGGCAACACTCTCCGTGGCCCCGTGCCGCGCGCTCGTCACAGAACAGTTGCAGATTCAGGTATGAGCGGAGATAAGCCAGGTACGACGGAGATTCTTGGAGGCATGGACGGATCAGGGGTAGAGATTCTACCTGGAGACGCGACGACCCTGGCAGGTGGAGAAGAGGAGAATAATCCCCCTGAGAAATCAAAGAAAATTGTCCTTGGAAAAGTGGAGAAGAGTGGTTTCAGGTGGTACGAGTGGGTGCTGGGGGCTTTTGCAAGCCCTCTGGGAGCTTTCAGTGAGCTGAGCGTTCCGTATCATGCAGAGCAGAGAGTCCTGCCGTCTGGTCAAGGCTCCTCGGGTTCCAGACGAGAAGGGCGGGTGGTGGTCTCTGCTACCAATGGCTTGGAGGCGGTGATTCGTGGTGATGATGATAGTGATGATGGTGGTGGTGAAAGGGACGGAAGGGGGGAGGTTGTTGCAGGATCGCAGGAGAAGGAGAAGATGGCTGATGAGGAGGAGAGAAGGGAGGAAAAGGAGACGGGTCAAGGGGAGGAGGAGCAAGGGGAGACGCAGCTTCGGCACGTCATGTTCAACATAGCCTCGTCCCGAGCCACCTTTCCATACCGCCGAGCCTACCTGCGCAGCTGGTGGCGCCCGGGTGGGCAGGAGGAGGAAATCCGCGGCTACGTGTGGGTGGATGACGTGGCAGCGGTCCCGCATGACGAGGCGGTGGACCCACCTGTGAGGGCCAGCACCAACACGAGTCACCTGAGCTACAGGGGCACGGGGCTGAGGGAGTATCTGCGTTTGGCGAGAATTGTGGTGGACGCGTATAGGCTGGGGGAGAAAGATGTGCGCTGGTGAGTGTGCTGTGCTCCTGTGCTGCTGTGCTGCTGTGCTGCTGTGCTGCTGTTTGCTACCTTTACAGTGAGCCACCTGAGCTACAGGGGCACGGGGCTGAGGGATTATTTGCGGCTGGCGAGAATCATGGTGGACGCGTACAGGCTGGGAGAGAAAGATGTGTGCTGGTGAGTGTGCTGTGCTCCTGAGCTGCTGTTTGCTACCTATACAGTGAGCCACCTGACTTACCGGGGCACGGGGCTGAGGGAATATTTGCGGCTGTCGAGGATTGTGGTGGACGCGTACAGGCTGGGGGAGAAGGGCGTGAGATGGTGAGCTCGTATCGGATGCTTTGTGTGTGTTCAATGGTGGGTGGAGCCACGTGAGCTACTTTTGAGGCGCCTCAAAAGGCACGGCGGGGCACGGGACACCTTGGAGTGCCTGCCTGCGATTGGCACTGCTCTAATCCGAGAACGCCGGCAAAACACTGTACCCCATACCGCCCCCTCTCTCTCTCTCTCTCTCTCTCTCCCCTCTCGCCTTTCGCCCCCACCTGTAGGTACGTGATGGGCGACGATGACACGTTTTTCAGCCCCCGCGCCATCACAGCCTTCCTCGGACAGTACGACCACAAGACACCCCTCTACCTGGGAGCACCCTCTGAGACGCACTACCAGAACGTGGCCAACACGCACGGCATGGCGTTCGGGGGTGGGGGATTTGCCATCTCGGCAGCGCTGGCGCGCATGCTGAGTGATGGCGGCGCCATGGATGCGTGTTTGGAGCGACACACCACAGTTTGGGGGAGCGACGAGCGGGTCGCTAGCTGTGTTGGCGAGCTGGGGGTGAGTGCACGTTGGGGTATGTGTGAATGCAAGCTACCGGAACGTGGCCAACACGCACGGCATGGCGTTCGGAGGGGGCGGGTTCGCTGGCGCGCATGCTGAGCACAGATGGGGCCATGGAAACGTGTTTGGAGCCGCATGCAGCTGTGTGGGGGAGCAACGAACGTGTTGCCAGCTGCGTGGGCGAGGTGGGGGTGAGTGAGTGCTTGCACTTGGAAAGCAGGGAATGTAGAGGCAATTGGAAGCAGGGAATGTAGAGCACGGCACGCAGAGGTCTCAAAAACAACCTCGCTTCACGTTGCACTTGGGAAGCAGGGAATGTAGAGCACGGCACGCAGAGGCTTCGTGGGGCGTCTCTTGTTTGACGCCCCTCGCCATCTCGGCAGCACTCGCACACATGCTGAGTGAGGGTGGGGCCATGGACGCGTGCTTGGAGCGGCATGCTGCAGTGTGGGGGAGCGACGAGCGCGTGTCAAGCTGCGTGGGAGAGCTGGGGGTGAGTGAGTGCTTGCGTGTTGGGAAGGGCCAATGGATGTGTGGCATGGCAGGGCACGTGCCATTTCCTCTTGCCCGTGCCTCTTCCTCCACCAGGCCTTTCTTTCTCCTTAGAATCCTCTCCCGTCCCCCACCAGGTCGATTCGGCCGGCAGTCTTGTCATGGCACAATCCCCCTCTCATTCCCCTCCCCACCTCACTGCCCTCCCTCCTCCCCCGGGTGTCCCTCACTTCGAGCTTCCACCAGGTAGATCTGGGCGGGAGTCTCTTCGAGCTCCTCATGACGCACCCCCTGCACCCGCTGCACCCCCTGAACCCGCTGCTTTCCCCCCAGCCCCAAACCTTGACTCCATCTCCCCTCTGCCCTCCCTCCTCTCCCAGGTGTCCCTCACTCCAACGCCAGGCTTCCACCAGGTAGATCTGGGCGGCAGTCTCTTCGGCCTCCTCATGGCGCACTCGCTACAGCCGCTGCTCTCCCTGCACCACCTTGACTTCGTTGACCCGCTGCTGCTGCCAGCTGGCATCGCTGACCGGGCGGACGGGCTCGCCACGCTGGCAGAGAGGATCCGGCCGGACCCGATTGGGTTTGCACAGCTGGCAGTGTGCGGGGATGGGTGAGTGAGAGGAGGAAGAAGCGGTTGGAGAGTTGAAAGTACCTCTGCGTTGGAATTATGTGCTCTCAACACATTTTGTCACATTGCCCAACATCTAACAGCCCGCGTGCATAGCATGTAACAGCGTTCTATCATGTAACAGCGCTCTATCATGTTTCAATATATATATTCGCATGCACGCACGCCTTTCTGTGTCGCTTCTGTTACAGCTCTCCTGCCCTCTCCCCTCCCCAGAACCCTTTCCTCCTTCCTCCAATGCACCTCTCTCCCATGTAGTTCCCAGTGGACAGCAGCCATATCGTGGGGCTTTGCCGTCAGATTCTATTTGCTCGTTGCACCTCTCCTTCTTCGAGCTGCTGTATATGCATGTGGTAACACTGCAACAGCACTGGTTGTCCTTTCGTTCCTTCTTGCTCCATTTACCTCCCTCCCATACAGTTCCCAGTGGACTGCAGCCATATCGTGGGGCTTTGCCATCAAAATCTACCCCGGGGTATGTTTGGCTGGAAAAAAAAAAAATAGTATACATTAAATACGCCTCAAACATAGCCTGGCCTCTAAAATCTTACGATGTTTGAGGTGCATAGTAATTAGTGTCATACCCGGGGGTACATTAAGTTCAATACCTCCTTGGCCAGGATTTTCAGTACTGTTGCACGTTCACATATGCATCTTGCCTCTTGCTTTGAACTGTGTTCTCCAGTATACTCGTTTCTTCCCCTTGCGATTCTTTCGTCCCTTCTTTTCACACCTGGCGCGGCTGCTACCAGACCTGGCGAGGGCAGCAGAGCGAACGTTCTACTCGTTTGTGGGGAGTGGTGCAGGCCAGAATGCATCGTCACTGCATTGCCACACGTTCTCCTTGTGTCATCTCTCCCCCCTTTCCATTATCTCTCCCCACACCAGGCGCGGCTGCTGTCAGGACTGGTGAGGGCAGAGCGAACGTTCTACTCCTTTGTGGGGAGTGGCATTCTTTCCGCATTCTTCTTCCTTCTCCTTGTGTGCTCCCCCCTGCATGCACCCCCTCTCACCCCTGATGCCCCCCCCGCAAGGCGCGGCTGCTGTCAGAGCTGGTGAGGGCGGAGCGAACGTTCTACTCCTTTGTGGGGAGTGGCATTCTTTCCGCATTCTTCTTCCTTCTCCTTGTGTGCTCCCCCCTGCATGCACCCCCTCTCACCCCTGATGCCCCCTCCGCAAGGCGCGGCTGCTGTCAGAGCTGGTGAGGGCGGAGCGAACGTTCTACTCCTTTGTGGGGAGTGCCGTTCTTTCCGCATTCTCCTTCCTTCTCCTTGTGTGCTCCCCCCTGCATGCACCCCCTCTCACCCCTGATGCCCCCTCCGCAAGGCGCGGCTGCTGTCAGAGCTGGTGAGGGCGGAGCGAACGTTCTACTCCTTTGTGGGGAGTGCCGACCCCACCGCGTTCACCTTTGATACCAGGACACCAGAGGTGCGTGCATGCTCCTGGGTGTATGTGTGTGTGGTTGAGTGTGTGGGTGTGTGTGTGGAAGGGGGAGACGAAGGCGGGACTGTGGGTCAGTAAAAGAGGTACATGGGTGTGGGTGTGTAGGTTTGTGTGGGGATGTTTGGTGGTTGAGTGTGTGTGTATGTGTGAGCGTGATTGTGTGGGTGGGTGTGTGTGTGCATATGTGCGGTTTTGGTGGGATGGGGGGGTGAGGGGGGGGGAAGGGGAGGGAGTAATAATGGAGGGGGTTGCATGGGCGAGGAACGAGGTGCACGTGTAGTGTGTATCGTGGAAAGGGGGGGGGAATATCTGTAAGCATGTGTGGTGCTGATTTTCCACCTTTTCTCCCTTTTGTTTGCCATATAAGTCTCATTTCATTTGATTTCTCCTTGCAGGACGATGCTCCTCCGCACGAGTTATGTGCCTTGCCCTTTACAATGTATGCAACACATGTGGGGAAAACGGACGCCGACAAGACCTCTCATATCAAGGATCCAAGTGCAGCTTTGGTTAGCGTGTACAATCGCACATCGTTCTTACGCAGGCTTGATCGTTCCCACTGCCCTCTTGCCATTTCGAAGGTGATGTCAGCGCGCATAATCAGACCTCAAGGGCCCATGCGGATGGGTAGGGGGCCTAATCACATGGGATGGCCAGGACCAAACCTGAGGAGGCAAAGGTGTGCCAAGGTAGACTTAAATGATGATAAGATGGATGATTTGACGTTGACAGTTTGGTTAGAGGATGTATAAATTCCTTCATATGGTGTATAAGCTTGACGTGACTAGCATGGCTTGTTCACATCTCAGGAGTGCCAGTCTGACACAAGGGGGTGTTGAATTCGTCGTTTTCGAAGAGGCGGCGGCTTGCCGAGCTTGTGCAACTGGATAACCTTGGCGAATGCAGGGGGGAAGTGTTGACAGTTTTGCCCTCTTCCCCACCACCTGGCCCCTTTCCGCTGCGCGAAGAAGATCTCGACGAAATTTGGGTCCTTCTGTGCCCCGGCCCTGCGTGCACCACATGTCTCACGCGCTAACGCCTACGAGTTGGAGGGGCAGCAAACAAAATGCTCTGCACCAATCGGTGGGCGTTGACAAGATGAACTATCCATTTCCACACGAGGTCAGGAAGAACGAACAAAACTTATCAGCACACAAAAGACCTAGGAAAAAATGGCAATCGTATTTCAGGAAAACCTCCAGAACGTTCTGGAAACCTTCAAAGCCAATCTAGTCCCTCAATAAACTCCTGCTTACAGCAGCATCGCACACCCTTCCCTCTCAACCCCCCCCCCCCCCCCCCCCTCCTCCTCCTCCCCTGTTCCCCCAACCCGTTCTCTCCTTCCCGCTCGCTTCCCCCTTCCACCTCGCCCAATTTTCCTCCCCTTCGTCCTCGCACAGTCTAGCTCACTCCCATGAATCTTGCTGTTCATCCACCTAGCCAGCAAAAGCAGGAAAAGCAGCAGGAGCAGCAGCATCAGCAGCAGGAAAAGCAGGAGCAGCAGCTGCATCGCCAGCAGGAAATGCAGCAGCAACAAGACGAGATGAGAGTGAGAGTGTAGTGGAGGAGACAATGCCAGTGTCCTCCTCCCGGCCCCGCCACAATGGTGTGCGCTGCCGTCAGTCAGTTATCGCGTCGCGAGCATCTCTCTCTACCTCGCAATCTCGGTGACAACTTCTTGCCTCTCGTTCACTACGTACAGTATCAGACAATTAGGGTTAGACGAGTCCTCTAGCCTGCTTCGATCGTCCTGATCTATCAAATATCGTTTGACCTAGTTGGCTCGCCGTAGCCTAATATGCCGATAAGACAAAGAAAGCGGAACATTTTATAAAGAATCGTCCGGTCATTTCTTCCGGCCGGGAGTAATTATCCGCCCCAGTATTTCCCCGCCGATGGATTTTACTCTGCTCGGGTCTCTGGGCGTTAGCGAATCCCACGACCGCGTTTATTGGAACTGCGACTCTCAAGAATCCGAAATTCACTGCACTGCCGAGGGTGCGTACGAGACGACTCAACCAGATCTCGCGAATCTCGAGAAGCACTTGTCGCCTTCGAAATTCACTGCGCTGCCGAGTTCTGTTTCAATCAGACTCGAATCTCACCCCCCTACGGCATCGCATCGACGGAACCTGCATGCGAGGGTTTTTTAGCGAGGCGACATGGGGACTCTGAACGATTTTGCCTATAATTCGCGTCGCGTCGTCTCGAATAGCCTCTATTTGAGCAACGCGACAAGGACGACCGGCTCGCTGGAGCCATCCGCACGTGCGCCGGCAGATTCAGATTTGTCCGCATGTGCAAACACAGAGTTGGAATTTTCCGCACGTGCGTCGGCAGGCTCGATGCTGTCCGCTGACTCGTTCTCCGCACGTGCGCCGGCACTAGGGGGGAATGGGGAGACGTTATCACCGCGAAGTGAGGTAAATACGCGTATGCGCGGGGAGCAGGATGCGCAGGAGATGCGCGGCGCGCGGTGCGCGTTTCAGGTTGAGGAGAGCGGCCGGCGCAGCACGGAGGGAGCGGAAGGAGTGGCAGGGCGGCGGCGCAGCGGAGAGGTGGGCAGCGGAATCGATGCGGGTGAAAGAGGCGGAAGCAGAGAGTTTGGCGGAGGGTGCGGCGGAGGACGGGGAGGCGGGCGGAAAGGACGAGGGGGACGAGGATTCAGAGGGGAGAGGGGAGGGAGAGGCGGGGGAAGAGGAGGGAAGGAGAGGAGAGACTCTGCGCAAGATGGCGTGGGTGAGGGGGGGGGAGGGGTGGCGGGGAAAAGCGACGTGGAAATGCGCGTCTGTAGGTCTACCAGCGGGAGTGACAGTAACGGCGGCGGTAGTAGCAGCGGCAGCGGCAGTGGGAGCGGCAGCGGCAGTGGCAGCGGCAGCAGTAGGTGGAGCAGCAAGCGAGGCGGCAACGGGAGCCGTGCAAGGGGTGCCGATGGTGCTGCTGCAGCTGCTGCTGCTGCTGCTGCTGCTGCTGCTGGTGCCGGTGCTGCCGTTGCTAGTGGGGGTGCTGGTAGTGCTGATTCTGCTCTTGTAGCGTTGGCTGGGAATGCGGCAGGCAATCGGAGGGGCCATGGTTTCGGAAATGTAGCAAGCGTGGCGAGCGGTGTCGACGTGGCTCGAGCCGTCGACGTGGCGAGCGGTGTCGACGTGGCGAGAGGAGGGGCAGGAACGCGAGGTGCTTTGAGTATTTTAACCAAGGGAGCAGCTGGAGAGGGGGGTGCGGCCGGGGGAACAGCAGGCGGGGGGGCAGCGGGCGGGGGAGAGTGGGCGGAGTGCGCGCAGCTGTTCAACCGCACGAGCAGCGCGGGCAGCGCTACGAGCATTACCAGCAACGGGATGGGCGGCAGCAGCTGCACCACCCGCAGCAGCACGAGCAACAGCAGCGGGAGCAACAGTAGCAGCAGTGCTAGCAGCAGCAAAAGCAAGAGCAGGAGCGGCGTCGCCACCACCACCACCGCCATCACCATCACAAGTAACAGCACCAGGAGCACCGTTAGTACCGTCAGCAGCGGCGGCAGCAGCAGCACTAGCGGCAGCACCAGCGGCGCAACAAACAAATTTCAGGCTGCCCGGGTGTCATGTTTGCCGCCCAAAAGTCCGCTCTCCTTTCCCCTCTCACTGCCCCTCTCCCTCCCCCTCTCCCCCTCTATGGGTTTCTCCCCCCACTCTCTCCCTTCCTCCTCCGCCTCCTCCCCCTTCTCCTTCTCCTCCGCCCCAACCTCCCCGTTCTCCGCCTCCTCCCCGTCTACCAACCCCTCCTCCCCTCGCTCCCCCTGCTCCTCCTCCCCCCCTGCTCTTTCTTCCAGAAACAACTCTGCCAGTGCCGCTACTGCCGCTACTGCCGCTGCTGCTGCCCCTGCTTCCGCTGGTTCTGCTGCCGTCACTTCTGCCGCTGTTCTCCCGCCTGCTCCGTCTCTCCCTCTTTTAACCGCTCCCCCTACTCCTCCCGCTGCTGCTCCTCCTGCTGTTTCTTCTGCTGCTTCTGCTTCTCCTGCTCCTGTTCCTGCTCCCATGCGCTATCCTCTTCTCTCTCCCCGTTCCAATGCCACACCCTACGCTTTCCGAACCAGCCCAAACCAATCGCACACTCCCCTCTCACTCCCGACCCAGCTCGTCACCTCTTCCGAGCCTCCCCCGTCCTCCCAAGCCGCCTCCTCTCCCCGAGCCTGTCCGTCAGGCTTGGCAGGGGTGCTGCAGGATTGCCAGGAGGTTGTGTGTCGAGCCTTGGAGGGCTTTGAGTCGAGGCTGGGTGAAATTGTGCTGGGGACACACTCTCCCCCGGACTCTCCCCCGCACTCCCCTTTGCTCTCCCCGTCTACCATTCGCGCTACTTCTGCTGGTCCTCCTGCCGTCCCTCCTGCCGTCCCTCCTGCCGTCCCTCCTGCCGCTTCTGCTGCTGCCGTTGAAGCTGCTGCTTCGGATCGCCGCGATTTCTCTGCTGAAACGCGTGAAGCTGCAGCAGCAGCACTACAAGAAACAGCACCAACAGCACCAACAGCACCACCAGCACCACCAGCACCAGCAGCGGCATCACCTCCTTTCTCCTCTCCTCTCTCCTCTCCTCTCCCTTCTCCCCGCCCCTGTCCTTCCGCCTCCCCGCTTGCCTCCCCGCTCCCCTCCCCCCGCCCCTCTCCCCCCAGCTGTGCGCCTCCCGCCATAAGATCCCCCCGCTCCGCCAGCGCGCAGGCGTCTCCCAGGGGGTGGGGGAGAGCGGTTAGAGCGCAGTGGGATTACCCTAGGGGCAACGCGGAAACAGGGGGGACGAGCCCCTCCTGTTCCACCAGTGCGCAAGTAGCGTCCACTAGAGGGGGAGGGGCAGATAGGACGCAGGGGGAGCGCGCCAGAGGCAGCGCGGAAGCACAGGGGGAAAGATCCCCCTGTTCTGCCAGTGCGCAGGTAGAGACGACTGGAGGGCGAGGCGGGGGCAGGGCAGAGGGGGAATGCGCCAGAGGCATCGCGGAAGCACAGGGGGCAATCTCCCCCCGTTCCGCCATTGCAAACTTCTCCCCCCGCTACGCTGCACAACTTACCCCTTTGCACCGCACTCCACACCCTTCAACCGCGTCCTCCCTGTCCCTTACCTCTGGCAACCGCTCCTCCTCTCCTCACGTTCGCTCGCCCCGCCCCTTGTCATCCCAACCGCCCTCTCCCCACCCGCCCTCCCCCCACCTCCCCTCTCCTCACCCCCCGTCTCCCCAGTCCTCCGCTCTCCCCCCCCTTTCCCCCCGCGCCACACATGAGGCGCCTCTGAAATCCCCCCGCGCTTTAAGCAACCCCGCCCGTTTCCCCCACACGTCCGTTCACTCGTCTCACACGTCCTCCCCCTCTCACACGCCAACCTCCTCTCAAGCATCTGAGCTTCCTCGAAACCCCCCTTCTGCCCGCTTGGCCCTTCGCTCCCACTCCTCTTCCGCACTGCTTTCCCCCTTTCCTGGCAAACCCCTGTCCTCACCCATCTCTCCCTCCCTCCCCTCCTCCCCGTTCCCCTCCTCCTCCTCGCTCCCCGTTACCCCTGCGTCTCTCTCTTGCTCCTCCCACCCCCCCTCTCCCTCAACTTTCGAAGCGTCTCAAAAGTTGCTCCCTGTTCCTGCTGCTTCTCTCTCAAGCAGTCCTGTTCCTGCTGCTTCTCTCTCTCACTCCTCTCAGCCTCTCTCTCCTTCCCCTCTTCCCTCTACCACTCCGTCTCCCAAGCACCGCTTTACGGCCAGTTCAGAGACCACTGCAGCTTTTGGGAATGGTGAGAAGCGGTGCGTGCAACAGCAAATAAAACACCAGGTGAACCCACAGGAAGCGCCAATCCTGCACCGTCAACAGCCAAACCACCACCACCAGGAGCAGCAGCAGCAGCAGCAGCGGCAGCAGCAGCAGGAGGAACAACAGTACCAGAAGCAACAGCGGCAGCACCAGGAGCAACAGCAGCAGCCGCAGCAGCAACAGCAGCAGCCGCAGCAGCAGCGTTTGAACCCAAGGGTGCGACGTCTTTTGTCTCTGTCTCTGGATCTGAGGGAAACAGTGTGGGCTACCGAACAGGAAGGAGCTGCTGCTATCGACCGCACTGCACCGCACCCAACCAGACAGCACTCAACCTCACCACACTTGATCTCACCGCACTCAACCTCACCGCACCCAACCTCTCCGCACCGATCCGCACAGCAGCTGCCCACCTCACAGCATCAACGGTACAGCCAGCAGCAACAACAGCAATGGCAGCAGCATCGACACCAGCTGCAGAACCGGCAGCAGCAGCAACGTCAGCAGCATCAGGGGCAGCAGCAACAGCAACAGCAACTGCATCAGCAGCAGCAGCAGCAGCAGCAGCAGCAACAGGGGCAGCAACAACATCAACGCCAGCAGCAGCATTGGCAGCAGCAGCAGAGGCAGCAGCAGCATTGGCAGGGGCAGGGGCAGCAGGGGAGGGAGAGGGTGCGACGGCGCATGTCCCTGTCTCTGGACCTGAGGGAAACGGTGTGGGCGTCTCAGGCGGATGAGTGTCCTGTCCGCACCCGCTCTGCTGTGCCTACTGCTGCGTTTGACCCGAGCCACACAGGGAGAGATGCCGCACCTGCTGTACCTCTCAAGCCTGCCACCCCTGCTGCACCCGTCAGCACGTCCGCACCTGCTACCCCTGCCACCCCTTGGAAGAGAGTGTCGCCTCACAAGGCTGCAAGCACCATCAAGAGTGTTTCTTCCTCTGCCAGCACTTCTGCCCCTGCCACTGCTGCCACTGCCGCTGCTGGTGTCACTGTTGCTTCTACTTCCACTGCTGGTGCAGCGGCTGCTGCTGCCCCCGCTATCAGTGCCGGTGTGGGTGCTGCAGGATCTTATCAGTCTTCTCCTCGTCCTCCCGTTCGCATGCCCGACTATCCCTCCCCATCTCCCAATCCCTCTCTCTCCTCCTTCCATCGCGCCGCTTTGCACCACACTGCACCGCATACTGCCCCTCACTCCTCCCCGCAAAACTCCCCCCATGCTCTCTCCTCTTCCCCTCACACCCTCTCTTCTTCCCCTCACTCCACCTCATCCTCTGCCCACTCCTCCCCTCACTCTTCCTCTCCCTCACTCCACCGCTCCCCGTTCCGCCCCCCACACTACCCCTCGCCCCTCCAACGCTCCTTCTCTTCCACCCCCTCGGCACATTTACCCCTCCAACCGAGCTGCACCGCTCTGGAATCCCCTGGAACCATCACCAGGAGCCGCACAACCAACACTCGCAACAGACCACTCACTTCAAGCAACGGCAACAGCACCATCAGCAGCAGCACCAGCAGCAGCAGTTACAGCAGAAGTGGTAACAGCAGAAGCAGCAGCAGCAGCCCTACTAGCTGTAACACGTCAGCAGGGACTTTGTTTTCAGCTGGTGGTGCTGCCAGGATGGGAGGAGTGACTGGAAGAGCAAATTCGCGTGCCCTTGAGACGTGTCCAAAGCAGGCAGTTTCTGTTCAGGGTGCGTCTAGTGCTGTGCGTAGGAGTGCATGTTCCTCTGGGGAATCTAGGGTTGGGGCTGTGGTTGGGAGAGTGGCGTGCGAGTCAGGTGCTTCTGTGGGCGTTGAGGGGGGAGCAGCAGGGAGAGGGGGAGCAGCAGAGGGGGGAGGAGCAGCAGGGAGAGGAGGAGCAGCAGAGGGGGGAGGAGCAGCAGGGAGAGGGGTAGCAGCAGAGGGGGGAGGAGCAGCAGGGAGAGGGGTAGCAGCAGAGGGGGGAGGAGCAGCAGGGAGAGGGGTAGCAGGAGGGAGGCACAGGAAGAGCCCGTCAATGGGGACACTTCCTTCGATGGTGTGCCATGGTGCCCTTGAGAGGTCTCAAGGATTCCCCATGGGAGCACTGCCTTCGATGTCCCACTCTGCTGCTTGGCTTGCCCACTGCTCCAACAGCAACAGCCACAGCAAAAGCGGCAACAGCAGCAGCAACAGCAACTGTGGCAACAGCAGCAGCAACAGCAACAGCAACAGCAACAGCAACGGCGGCAACAGCAGGGGTGGCAGACTTATGGTTGGGGATCTAGTGATGGGCAATTCGAGTAAAGGCAATTCAACGGGGGGCGGATTTATGGGTGGCAATCACATGGGCAGTGGCCCAATGGTCGGCAATCTCAAGGGTGGCAGCAGGCATGTTACTGGTAACTGTGACCAGCATCCCCCTTGCAGGCATGTTACTGGTAACTGTGACCAGCATCCCCCTTGCAGGCATGTTACTGGTAACTGTGACCAGAATCCCCCTTGGGGTAGCAGTGGGTTTGGGAGCGATTCTGCTCGCACTCCCAGTGCTTCTGTTGCCATTGCTTCTGCTCCTGCTACTGCTACTGCTGCCGGTTCTGCCGGTGTTGCTGGTGCTGCGGATGCTGCTGGTGCCTGTGCGTCTGGTGCAGCTGGTGCGACTGGCGGTTATGGTTTCTGTTCTGGTGATTCTGTTGCTGCTGGTGCTTCTGATGTGCCCAGTGCTGCTGCTCCGGGTAGGATGGTGAAGAGTAAGAGCATAGGCGGCAGCAGCAGGAGCAGGGGGCTGGTAGGGATGGTGCACACCAGTAACAGTGGCAACAATGCAAGCACCAAGTATGGGAGCGGCAGTATTGCCAGCAGCAGCAGCATCGCCAGTAGCTTCGGTAGCAGCCCCAGCAGCAGTGCTAAAGAAACAGCCGCCAGTGATGGGAATTGCAGTCCAATGGAAATTAGCATCAGGCGGTGCGCCACTGCTGGTAGGATGGTGAAGAGTAAGAGCATAGGCAGCAGCAGCAGGAGCAGGGGGCTGGTAGGGATGGTGCACACCAGTAACAGTGGCAACAATGCAAGCACCAAGTATGGGAGCGGCAGTATTGCCAGCAGCAGCAGCATCGCCAGTAGCTTCGGTAGCAGCCCCAGCAGCAGTGCTAAAGAAACAGCCGCCAGTGATGGGAATTGCAGTCCAAAGGAAATTAGCATCAGGCGGTGCGCCACTGCTGGTGGCCAGCCTTTAGCGAATCCAGGGAATGCTTATAAAGGAGCACCGAGTGTATGGCAACCTAAGCAGAGTGCAGAGCAAGAGAATGGGATGCGAGGGGAAGGGGTGTTGGAAGGGAGACGAGGGGTGAGGGGGAGGGGAAGGGGAGGGGGAGGGGGTAAAGAAAAGGGATTGGGGATCGGCACGTCCCAGAAACTTAGTGTGAGGCATGGAGTAAGCATGACACATGCACATGAAGTATCCCAAGGCCATCTGCCATTTGGCCCCAAAAGAGCTCATGAGATACCCCTGTCCTGAGCAGCTTGCGTAACTTTAACGCATAACTTGCGTCTTATGCTATATCCTGTGGTTGCAAAGCAGAGTGGTTATGCTTTTTTTTTTTGTTATAAGTGGTTCTGATAGATTTTTGTTATAAGTGGTTCTGATAGAAGTAAAACCATAGGGATTCGTGATATCTGCCCGTTCAGCATATGTGGTACGTTTAGCAATGTAGCAACCACCGCCTTCAGCGACGTTCCCAGTGCTTCAAGAGAAGCTGATATTTCCGTTTTGACAATAACGCGGAACAGTACACCACCGTGTGTGGGCAACCCGGATTTGGCGCCAGCATTAAATGGGACTTAAATACTGCACTGTTCAAGCTTCAACCTGGCCGTGGGCCAAATCTTTCAGCCCAGCTGTTGCGTGTGGATTCTGTTCTCTGGATGCTTCTTCCGTTTCTCGTTTGATTTGAACAGAGGTAGGGAGGGAGGGACGCCACGCCCCGCGCCCGTGATGTGAGGTGACGCCATCTTATCCACGAAGGCACTGCGAAATTAAACTACAGTTCAACTACGCCTTACACTATTTGTGTGACTCCTGCTGGAGAGTGGGTACACTACAGCCCCATTATGCTGAAGAAGATATACACCCTTAAAACCGCCACCCTGGAGTACGGTGTGGTGTGGTCCAGCTGTTGGTTTGCGCAAAGCCCCCCCCCCCCCACCTCCCTCCCCATCGGACGATTTTAACCCTACTGGGAATCCGGACTGATTGATTGCCGTACGGCGTGTTCAAAATTAACTTTTCGTCTGTGCCTAACCTCACAATTCCTTCTCATCCACCATGTTCTTTGCACCAGCTGCCAAGGTCGGGCTGGGTGAAGGGGGGACCCAGGAATTCCACGATGCCCCAGAAAACCAGGGGAGGCCTGGTTGGTGGTTCTTCGTGACACCCTAGCAGTCACTTGCTGTGACACAGCGTGACGCTGTTGTGTCCAGCGTGGACGCCTGGATAGTGAATGGCTGACCACGTCGCCACGACCCCATCTCTTTCAACAAATGAAAAGCGGGATCACCCGAGCGAAAGATTCACTCCGTGGAAAAAACTGTTGGTGAACTCCCTTGAACCTCTTATCCACGCGATTGGAGGGCTGCTCTCTCATTCGTCAGATCCAATTTGCTGGAGATATTGCGGCAGCAATGCGGGGAAAAGGACGATCTGCGTGTACTTTCTTTCTGGTCACGACGACTCGGGCTCGAAGTGGGTGGAATGGGATGGGAAGGGAAGGAAAGGGAAGCAACACCAGCAACACCATGCCGCACATCCCACCCAAACAAAGCGTTGAAGTAGTGTTTCGTGCTGGGCCAGCAGAAGGCTGAATCGGGCTTGTAGATAGTTTTGACTAACTTTCCTCCGTACCTCAATTGTTCAGACACCGCCTGCTGTGCTAAATATTCTATTCGATGGAGATAGCTGTCGAACATGTCGTGACGCCTAGCCCATGTCCCTCTCACAAAGAGGACTTCGGCACGTACGTTCTTATGGTACGATCATTTTTATTCGAGTTACGTTTTTGTAGCAGCACTTTCCAGTTTCTCAATACTCAGTTCTGACAGCTGTCGTTGTTGTATCGCAGATTCAGCACTTGATAGAGCGGTGTCTCGTGCTAGAACTGAGCCAAGCCGAATGCATTGCGAGTCTCGCCAGAAGTGCAAGGATCAAGCCGGCCATAACCCTTGCAGGTATGTATATTGCAGGGAGTTTGATCGAGCTTGCATTTTGATGCGTACCATTGCTCACGATCTCGTTGTTTGTGCCTTTCTTGTTCTTCGCAGTTTGGAATGCCCTTGAGAAAGAAAATCCTGGTTTTTTTCGAGAGTACAACAAGAAAACCTTCTCTCAAGCAGCGAGATTGGCGAGTCGGCAGAGGAGAGCCGCCGCCGAAGAGGAGTGCGCTGGCAAAGTACTCCAATGTTTGGAGTTGTGGCGAATCTACTGATTGGGTTAACGACGACGAAGACGAAGCTGCAAGGAGTGACTGACGCGTCGATCATATGACAGGAGCTAACGTGACAACCATTACACATAGGGCATAGGGTTGAGACTGCTGGACCTCAGACAGCATGTGCTTCGCCAGACACCGCCGCTGTACATACCATTCTTGGATGTCGGCGTAGCACAAGCTCTTGAGCCGAAATTGAGGTGTTTTGGGGACGTAGGTTAGGGTCTTTTGGCTTGTCTGTATGTTGTGCATAGGTGGGTAGCATTTGTGTGTTGTGTGCATTCAGACATGATGTGGCTAAATCGCGTGTTCATTGGCCAAATTTATCCATTACAATTTTTTGGTGTGCATTAATTGTATCATTCTCGAGCGTAGTGTGCATGCATTAATTACTTCACAACCACAATCTTTCTGCAAATTGACAACAATACCAAATCCATAGTTTCCCTCATAAATATACAAACCATTGGCACACTGCAGATTATTGGGCTATTGTATCTCAGAAGCCAACCTCAATGTTCCTACACGTGTCTAATAATAATCGCCCAGCTTGCGGTGGTGAGAAGCCGTGCGGCCCTCAGGCTTGGACACCTTCCCTGCAGTGACCTCAGCATACGTGATCCAGTGGTCGTTGGTCTCCATGCGGCTGACCACAGTGCACTCCAGGAACGCCAGCGATCCTGCCAGCACAGGCGACCCGTTGCTGGCTGGGTCCCAGTCAACTCCCTCGAAACGATCAGCTGGATGATCATTTAGGGGATGACATGGAGAGGGAGTTGAGACATGGCATGGGCAGAAGGACTGGGGTAAACATGGCCAGGTTTCATTGCTAAGTCACTCAAATTTCTGTACGGCATGCTTGTGTTGGCTACCTACCCCACGAGACATAGCCCGCAAGAATGGGAGAGGAAGGGGTGGGGGGGAGGGAGGGGAAGGGAGAGAAAGACGATAAGGTTATGGCGAAAAGGAGCAACACTCACCGCCAGGGGGGAAACGCTTGAGGAAGTGCTTCATGAGAGGGGCGAAGTTGCCCTCCTCAAGACAGTTGAGCACAAAGGAGTCGCCCACCTGCGTGCAGAGGAGAGGGGTAGAGAGTGGTGCAAATGGGTGTTGAGACAGGGTAGAGAAATGGGAGGCCTAGAAGAACGGGATTGGCCAAGTATTCAACATACGTCACTGAGATTAGATTGAGGGTGCATACAATGCAACTGGCATTTCCTACTGTCTGGTCAGACAGCCGCAGCCCTGTTCATCCCAGCCCATCCCAGCCTGGTCCACACAACTGCGCCCATGCAAGCCTCACCTGCATGAGCGACTCAATGGCTCTGTCCTTGGCCACAGCAACGGTGATGCCCAATGGCTTGAAGCTCGCCTGGCGTGGGCAGAGAGTGAGAGAGAGAGAGAGAGAGAGAGAGAGAGAGAGAGAGAGAGAGAGAGAGAGAGAGAGAGAGAGAGAGAGAGAGAGAGAGAGAGAGAGCAGGCCGAAGTGGAAGCATATTGGAGACAGGTAGGTGAGGTGGGGTGGGTGGATACTGAGACACACGCAGGCCCACATGCACACACACCCGGATGCAATACACACAGCCAGGTCACCACACATGCACGTGTACATTCCCCCCAAGCCTTCCCCCGTTCCCCCTCTTCCCGTTCACTCCATCCACACCCATGCGCGCACAGACACATACACGCACACTTTGCAACCCAGGAGGCGATCATAGCACCCTTGGAGGACCCCTTGATAGCCGTGACCACATACAGGCCCCCCGACACACATCCCCACGTGCACGCAGACCCACTCCCCCCCTCCACAAAGCACGCACCTGGGAGACCCAGGAGGCGATCATAGCACCCTTGGAGGACCCCCTTGGTAGCCGTGACCACGTACAGACTCCCCGACACATACAGCCCCACACATGAACACTCACACATGCATGCAGACCCACACACAAACAGCACGCACCTGGGAGACCCAGGAGGCGATCATAGCACCCTTGGAGGACCCTTTCAAGGCCGTCACCACGTACAGACCCCCCGACACACGAGCAATGGCCTTGGCCACCGTCAGAGGCATGCTGCGCCTTGTCTCCTCCCTCACCGCCTTCTGTGTCAGGCCCTGCCCCAAGTCAGTGCCCGCCTCCTCAAACAGCTGGTACCTGCAGTCATGACAGCAGGGGGGAATGAGGTTGCGAGGGAAGAGAGCGGGGTTGGGACGGGGGACTTATGACACCGCCAGAGACATGCTGCGCCTCGTCTCCTCCCTCACCGCCTTCTGTGTCAGCCTCTACCCCAGATCCGTGCCCGCTTCCTCAAACAGCTGGTACCTGCAAGTGATAAAAGAGGGAGGAAAGGTGAAGGGTGGGCGGGGAGGATTGAGGGATGGATGTTGAAGCAGGGGACTCGAGGTCGTCTCCTCTGCTGCCTCTCTGCAATCCCTCTGTTTTGAGACGTCTCAAAACACTTCTGATTTCTTGAGGGATGGTTGTTGCAACAGGGACTCGAGGTTGTCTCCCCTGGTGCCTCTCTGCAATCCCTCTCCCTCACTCTCACGGCTTCAGCGGGAGGCTTCTTGGCGCGAAGTGCCTCGAGGGGAATCTAGACTCCACGGTCAGTGGCTTTTGAGGCGCCTTAAAGGTTGCTACAGCCCCCCATTACACGGTGGCCCGTGTATTAGACTACAGCCCCTCACCACACCGCACTCGCTCTCTCTCTGTGATCACTCACAAAGCCTCGGTGGGGGGATCCTTGATGCGGAGGGGCTGGAGGGGCACCTTGACTTAGCGGGCACGTCAAAGGTTGCTACAGCCCCTTGTTACACTATATCCACTATAGCCACAGCAGCCTACTACACTCCGTCTCTCTGATCACGCACACAGCCTCGGTGGGCGGCTCCTTGATTGGGAGGGGTTCAATGGGGATCTTGTCTGCGCGGTCGTTGAACTTGTACATGAGTGTGTCGCGCAGATCGTCATCACACTACCACACCTCAGCATCCTCAAGCCCTTCATCGCCGTAAGGGCCCTCGCCACTACAAGCCCCTCATCTCACTCACACAGCTTCAGTGGGGGGCTCCTTGATGCGTAGGGGTTCAATGGGCATCTTGACTCCGCGGTCGTTGAACTTGTACATGAGCGTGTCCACCGGCTCATCGTCACCTCCATATGACTCACACAGCAGCACAGACTGTTGGAGGGGACAGAGAGGGGGCATCGAGGACAAGGGGACAAAGGGACAAGCGGATAACGGGGCAAGATGAGCGAAAGGATTCACAGCAGTCCGGGATCTTGCGCATAGGCTCATCGTCCCGTAAGACTCACAGAGACGCACGGGCTGTTGGGGGGGGAAATGAAGGGGGGTGAGGGAGAACGAGAGGGGACAAACAAATGGGCCACCCCCCCCCCCGCCTTGGTGATTGCTCTCCTTCACGGCCTCCTTCCCTCCTCTGATTCATCTCTACACAGTTTTCATAGTTTTGAGTCGACTCAAAACTAGCTTTGAAACCCCCGCCCACCTGCTCCCTCCCTCCCTCTCTCTCCTCTCCCCCACCTACCCACCCGCCTGATCTCTCCACTTCTACCCCAGCCATCCGCCCACCCACCCATTCCCCTGCTTACCTGCTTGATTTTGATGCCAGCGACAAGAGGCGCGACAGCAGCGGCGGCAGGGCCAGTGGTGGGGGGCATCATGAGCACGACAGCGGCGTTGCGGCCGATGCACTCCACGAGCTCCTGCGTGTCGGCGGCCTTGAGGTCCATCATCTCCACGCCCGCCCCCGCCTTGGGGAAAGACCTCACACCCTGCTCAAACCCTTCCCTCCTCTGATTCACCTCCACTAGAGCTTTCTAAGCCCCCGCCCACCTGCTCCCTCCCTCCCTCTCCTCTCCCCCAATCATCCACACACCTGTTTGGCCTTGATTCCGGCCACCAGCGGGGCAACAGCAGCGGCGGCAGGGCCAGTGGTGGGGGGCATCATGAGCACGACAGCGGCATTGCGGCCGATGCACTCCACGAGCTCCTGCGTGTCGGCGGCCTTGAGGTCCATCATCTCCACGCCCGCCCCCGCCTTGGTGATGCCACGCGCGATGCACTGCGAGAGCCGGTCGCTGTAACCGTAGTCGCTCACGTACAGCACTGCTATGGACGACTGAGAAGAGGGGGGAGGAGGGCGGGGGAAGAGAGGGTGCACAGACGAGGAGAAAAATGGTGATGCCCCTCGCCACGCTCTGAGACAGCCGGTCGCTGTACCCGCAGTCACTCACGTACAGCACTGCTATGGACGACTGCGAGGGTGGGCGGGGGCGGGGTTGGGTTGGGGGCGGGTGAAGTGAGTAGCAGACAGGGAAAACAGGTGACGCTCTGTGACAGCCTGTCGCTGTACCCGTAGTCGCTCGCGTACAGCACTGCTATGGGCGACTGGTTTGGGGGAGAGGAAGGGCGGGCGAGGAGGCGGGAATGGGTGAGGGGCGGTGTGAAGGGTGTTGCAGGCAGGGAAAAGAGAGGACACTCTGCGACCGCCGGCCGCTGTACCCGCAGTCGCTCACGTACAGCACTGCTATGGACGACTGCGAGGGGGAGAGTGGGGGGTGCGGGGGGAGAGGCGGGGTGGGAAGTGGGGGTGAAGGGAGCTGCAGATAGGGGAATCAGGTGATGCTCTGAGAGAGACGGTTGCTGTACCCGTAGTCGCTCGCGTACAGCACAGCTATGGACGACTGAGAAAGGGGGGCGGACGGGAGGGGAAGTGGTGGGGAGAACGAGAGTTGAGGTGGGACGGGGTGAAGGGAGTTGCAGGTGGGGAAAACAGATGACGCTTTGAGATGGGATGGGTGGGGGGAAGACAGGGCAAGGGGAAAGGGCAGGGCGCGGGAAGGAGGGGGGGAGGGGGAGAGGGGCACAGTGGGAGGAAGACACAGGGAGGAGGAGGGAAGGGAGCGCCCACATGCAGTGAGCTCGTACCTTCTGCTTCTAGATGGCGGCCTTTTGAGAATTCTCAATAGATCCACTGTTTGTACTTGAGCGTGAGGTCACAGACGTTGTGAAGGAGAAGAGAGCAGGAAAGAGGACGAGGAGTGGCGAGGGAGAATACACGAGGAGGAAAAGAAGGGAGCACCCAAACGCACTGGTTTCTCACCTTCTGCTTCTCGATGGCGGCCTTGCTCCACTGCTCGTACTTGAGCGTGAGCTCAGGCACGTTGTAGCGCAGCAAAGGGCCGTGCCCCACTGCGATTTCCGAGAACTCCCACCCCGCAGTGGCCACCTGCCGTGGGGAGAAGGAAGTGAAGGGAAGGGAACAGGTATGGGAAGGGCATGTGTTGTCAGTCAGGCACACTGTAGCGCAGCAGAGGGCCGTGCCCCACTGCGATCTTTGAGAACTCCCACCCCGCAGTGGCCACCTGCCGTGGGGAGAAGGAAGTGAAGGGAAGGGAACAGGTATGGGAAGGGCATGTGTTGTCAGTCAGGCACACTGTAGCGCAGCAGAGGGCCGTGCCCCACTGCGATCTTTGAGAACTCCCACCCCGCAGTGGCCACCTGCCGTGGGAAGAAGGGTAAGGGTATGGCGATGGGTAAAAGTATGCGCATGGAATGGGGACGGGGACGGGGATGTGGATGGGGACGAGGAAAGGGGAGGGGATGGGGAAAGGGAAGGGTATGGGCGAATGGTTATGCGCATATGGGGCAGTCAGGACACGTTCTAGGCCTGCGCCTGATGGGCGATTAGAGCCTTGATCGGTGGGAAAGGGGAGAAGGTCGTTGAGGGAGGCAGGGAGAGAGGCAGTGAGAGAGTCAGGGAGAGAGGCAGGGAGAGAGGCAGGGAGAGAGGCAGGGAGAGAGGCAGGGAGAGAGGCAGGGAGAGAGGCAGGGAGAGAGTCAGGGAGAGAAGCAGGGAAGCTGTATGGGATTCTCAAAGCCAAGGCAACAGAGCAACCGAGAACGATTCTAAAGAGCGGTGCGGAGCGGTGGAGGCACGGCACGCACCTTGCGCAGGGCGGTGAGGACGGAGCGCGAGTTGGGCTTCATGAGGCAGTCGTAGTAGAAGCGGTAGTGCGGCTCCAACTCGCTCAGATCATCATCGTACACCTGGCGACGAAATCGCATCGGCGCGCAATGGGAGGGGAGGGATGGGGGTGAGGGTGGAGAGGCAGGCGCAGTAAGGCGGTGATGCAGAGAGATGATGATATCCACCTCGTCCACCCCCGCCCTCCCCTCTCTTCGCCCCTTCCCAATTTCTCGTCTTTCCCCTCCACACCTTCGCCCAGCTTCCCCGCTTGGCCTTACCCCACCTCCCCACCAATACACCCCCTTGACCCTGGGAATCCCCTCTCACCTTCTCGGAGCAGTAGTGGCTGCCGAACGCGTCGCAGGTGAACATGACGCCCGTGCCTTTATCGAACGTGAACATGGTATCCGGCCAATGCAGGTTCGGTGCCATGATGAAATCCAGCTCGTGCCCGCCGCCCAGATCCAGAATCTTTCCCGGCTGCGCCACGAGGCTCTTAAAGGGCCTTAAGACTAGGTTCTGTAGGAACTGAATGCACACTTTCGACCCGACGACGGTTATGTTGGGGTTCAGTTCGATTAGGTCTCGGATCAGACCGCTGTGGTCCGGTTCTGTGTGGTTCGCGATGACGTAGTCGATGTCTTTAATGTCGATCTCGGCTTTAAGCGCGGAGAGGTAGAGCTCGCGGAACTTCTCGTGCGACGCGTCGATTAGAGCGACCTTGTTGGCGCCGCGGATGAGGTAGGAGTTGTAGGTGGTGCCCTTGAGAAGACCGAACTCGCTGCATGGAGAGAGAAGAGAGGGGAGGGGGAAGGGGAAGGAAGAAGGGGGAGGGGAAGGGGAAGGGGAGGGGAGGGGGAGGGGGAGGGGAAGGAGAAGCGGAGGGTGAGGTGAGGGGGAGGGGAAGGGGAGGGGGAGGGGGAGTGAGAGAGGGAGGAATTATATAAAAAAAAGTAAGAGAGGAGAGGGTGCACGGAAGCGAAGGTGCTCATTAAGAACTCGCTGCACGGTGAGAGAAGAGGAAGAGACGAAGGCCTACAGAAACAGAACACAGGTGTATGTGAGGTAAGTAGCTCCAAACCAGGCTGCGCAAGTGTGCATGCTGAGATTGTTAACAAAAAGTGTTTCCCAGAGGACGAAACTAAGGTCAGGTAAGCGAAAGTCGATTAATGTGCTATGTGCGCTAGGCGCGAACAAAGCAGATGTCTGTGACGATAACGAGGGACCTACCCGTATGAGGACTAACTAGATTCACATGCCAACAGACGCGGTCCTACGCGCACAGACAAGGCGACATACATATCGAAACGGTCACGGTCCCAGTCGAGAGAGCGAATGGTGGTCGTATCCGCAGCGATGGTGGTCGTCTGGGTCTGTAGGTGGGAATATGTGGGCGTCGTACGGAGATGATGTCACGCATTCGTGAGGATTACAAGCACAAGTTAAATACTTGACGACTAGAAGAAAACACTGGACAGAGAGTGACTTAAGGCTGTAGGGGTCTAAACATACATGAACAGTTGAGCACATCGACATTTGCTTTTAGAAAAAGACGTGCTTCGCGAATACGCGAAGACACCAAAAGACTTCGAGTTTCCTGCTATTAGCTCCGATGTCTGTCTCAGGAAGGGTGAAAATATCGAGCGCTCACCTGCAGTCTCTTTTCCTGATCCCATTTCACGACTCTCGACATCTTCGTGGGTGCTTCCGTCGCCACAGCTCGGACCTCCACCGACCGCGCGCGAACATTCTGCGAGGCTGCTTGCACGCTTGACGTGGCGGAAAACTGCGTTCCCAGAATCTCGGAACCGAGCTTCTTAGGCACGGCACAGCGCGCCGAAACGCTGCTGTTCCTGCTGCTACTGGACCCTCCCGATAGTTGCTTTACGGTAGGGACCTGCACTGGAGCCGCAACCGCAGCTGCTCCGACGAATGCCGCCATAGCGCTTCTCGGGCGGGAAAGCCGAGCTAACGTATGCACGAAGCGCACGGGACCTGGAGGTTGACGGCAACGGCAATACTGTGGAACTGTCTTCTTTACCGCTCGGATTCTTCTGACTAACGAATGAAAGAACCCGAAATGATTTCTGGAAAAATAAGTTTTCAAGGAAGGATGTGGAGTGGAGGGAAGGCGGAAGCTGGATGGGGGTTGGGGGATGTGTGGAAGCGGGAAAGTGGAAGCGGGAAAGCGGGAGCAAGGAAGCGGAAGCGGGAAAGCGGAAGCGGAAGCTTGGGGATTGCCTTGCCAAGAAATCGAGCGACAGGGAAATTTTGGGGGGAAGGAGCCTTGGGAATGAACGGTGGGCAGGACTGCTGGAGATGCAAGCAACCCATTGGGAACTCCAAGGTCCTTGAAATGAACGGTGGAAAAATCTCGTGGATGCGATCTCTGTGCAGCGTGAGCTGGTGCTTGCTGGATAACAAGCTGATGCACGTGTCATGATGCCACCTCAGATGGCAGGCCACCCCCTTTGCGAGGACTTGGAGACAGGGTGAAACCACGTCACCGTGACAGCTGGAGACTGCCTTTTCTACAGTACACTAGTTCTTCTTTCAGCCAAACAGACCGAATCTTACATTTGCCACAGAACCATAGCTGAACCCGCTGCGCACGTTGTCGGACTATGCATGTGTGTTACGTGTGCAATTGAGTGAACGAATGTAAGGAAATTCCCTTTTCCTTACTTCGCGTCCCTGCCCAGCGCGTACGTCACTGTAGCACCTCAGTCAGCACCGTTACCACTCGCGACCATCGCATCATTCATCATCCCGCCTTTTTCGCACATTGCATCCCGACCTCACGGCTCGGCTGGTAACCCGCGCTCCGGGCCTACGCTTCGACACTTTCCCAACCTCAGTCTCAGGCTCGACGCGCGACAACCACAGTCCATTACCGTTACCACTATTGTTTCGCTATATAATCCTTCGCTCATGCCTTCGCTCATTGTACTTTTGCTTCGATAGTGCAATTCTCGTTCGTTCACTCAATTGCACACGTAACACTTGGTATTCAGAGCCTACGATCTCATCTCGGACCGCATCCACACCTTCGCTTCCCACTATCTCAATTTTTGGGGGGGGTAGACGTCTCTCAGCGACACAGCACCGCCGCTCGAAGTGCTCTCTCGCAAGCACGCACGGCCACGACCGAGGCTCTCGCTGAGCTTGCCCGACACCCCCGCCATGGCCGACCTCAATCTCGCCACGTTGACGCAGGAGCAACTCGATCGTCTCGTGCGACAATTGGAGGATTCGGCGCTTGAAATCGCGACGCTCACGGCGGAACGTGACTCCGCCCGTCAACAGTCAGCGGTGAATGCTCCGACAACATCCCACGCACCAACCAATGTCTCTGTACATTCGGAGGAGCCGATTATCATTTCATCCGGCACACCGACGCAACACAACAGCACGGGACAGCGCTCAGGCGCAGCCAGTGACGGCGCAGCCCAACCGATGCCCGGCATGGGAGGGAACAGGAGCACGCTAAGCCCACGGGAGCCCCGAGAAGCCCGTCGGCACGTGGAGTTTGCGACGACAAGTGGTGAAAACGCCATGATGGCCCCAATGCCACTCAAGCCGCAACGCCCGCCCTGCTTCGACCCAAGCCAACGCGGCGGCCCGACAGTTCAATCATGGGTCTTCACGATGAATGTGTTTTTCGACGCCAACTACGTCGAGTCGGACGCCGCCAAGATTCGGTATGCGGTTTCACTACTCAGGGGCCCCGCCATGGACTGGTGGCGAGTCATCGTGACGTCGCCACGCGCCTACGAGCCACCGCCGCACGAGGAAGGGCCCTCGGGTCCAGCTGTCACCTGGAGTTCGTTCTGCGAAACAGCCCAATACAGCACGTGGGATGCGTGGTGCGCAGGGCTTCGGGCGCGTTTTGAGCCGATCGCGGCTTCGATTTCGGCGCGTCAGAAACTGCGCACTTGGCGCCAGCTCGGGTCGGTTCAAGACTACACCAGCGGTTTTCTCGCACTTTGCGAACAGGTCGGCTACATGCACGAGGCGGAGCGGGTGGACCGTTACGTCGGAGGGCTGAAGCCGGACATATCGCACGAGATAATGCTACGCGGGCTATCGAATTTCAACGAAATCCTCGCGCTCGCCGAGAAAATCGATATCCTACGCCGACCGAGACCGGGGTCCTATTTCGGACATCGCCCTCGGGGACCGATCGAGCACGCCACTGTACATGCCGTCGCAACGAATGCAGCTGCCACGCCATTTAGAGGGCGCTGCTTTGCTTGCAACCGGCCGGGCCATCGCAAGAGCGAATGTCCAGAGGAGCTGAGGCGTCGAGGAGCAGAGCAGGGGAAGGAGTCTCAGAGGCAGGGAAACGCCAGCAGTCAGTAGAAGTTGGGCCAACTACTGACGAGACTGCCTGCTCGCCCAACCACACCGACCCTCACCGAGTCACAGTACCGATTCACGCCATCGATCGGGCTCGGATGAATAAGGAGGGTACAGCGACGGATTGCCCGGTACTGATCTACGGGAAAATACAGGGAGCAGCAGTGAAAATCTTCATTGACGGAGGAGCAAGTCACAGCTTAGTTAATACTGCAACCGCACGGAAATTACAGTTAACACTTAACCGATGTTTACCTGAGATAGATGCACGCTTAGTCGAAGACACGCCATTGGCCATACGAGAAAAAGTGGAGCGAGTAAAAGTCCGCTGCGGGGGAAACTTCGGGTTTACACAGGAAATGCTCGCAACGACGCTGGATGGGCACGACATTTTACTGGGACGTGATTGGCTGCGACGGTACAACCCACGGATCGACTGGACGACGGGGAGCTGCACAGTGCGAAGTAGCGGTAACTGGGTCGTCCTACCTCGCTGGCGGCCACCCGAATCTTCGACAGTCCAGGTCAACGCCATCGCGATGAAACGAGCTGTCGCTGCTGGAGCTGACGTGTACGCAGTGGATATCGCAGTGGTAGAAAAAGACGAGCAGCAGAACGATTTTCAGAAACTGCTAGCAGCCGTACCGACCGAATTACAAGCACTACTGAAACGGTTCCCGGGGATATTTCCGGATGATTTACCACAGGGACTGCCACCTCAGCGAGTGCACGACCATAGGATCGAGCTAGAACCGGGGGCACAGCCAACAGTACAGCGGCAATTTCGACTGACACAGCCCGAGCTCGACGAGTTAAGGAAGCAGTTAGATTACCTGTTAGAGAAGCAGTTTATTCGACCGAGCTCGTCACCGTTCGCCGCACCCATACTGTTCACACCGAAAAAAGACGGAGGTTTTCGCATGTGCATCGACTACCGAGCGCTTAACCGAGTAACAATCAAATCGCGATACCCCATCCCCCGCGCCGACGAACTCATTGACCAACTGCGAACAGCACGTGTCTTTTCGAAAATAGATTTACGGGGAGGTTACCATCAGATTCGGGTCGAACCATCGGACTGCGCAAAAACAGCATTTAGGACTAGGTACGGGTCATTCGAGTATACAGTAATGCCTTTCGGATTGACGAACGCGCCTGCGACTTTTCAGATGACCATGAACGAGGCGTTTAGACCACTTTTAGATAGATGCGTGATCGTTTACCTCGACGATATCCTCGTTTACAGTCGGGATAAGCAGCAACACTTAGCAGATCTCGAAGCAGTTTTTAAGGTTTTAGAGGAACATCGGCTGCTCACCAAGGGCTCCAAGTGCGAGTTTTTTAGGGATAGGCTAGAGTTTTTAGGTCACGTCATTTCCGAGGCTGGGGTTGAGATCGACCCAAAGAAGCTGGATACGGTAAAAGCGTGGCGCCCCCCGACAAACATCACGGAACTGCAGAGTTTTTTAGGGTTTGTTAATTACGTTCGACGGTTCGTGCCCGACATGGCACGTTTAACAGCCCCACTAACTGATTTACTGCGTAAGGGGGTCGCTTTTACGTGGGGGGAGAAAGAGCATGCTGCCTTCTCTGCCCTAAAAAACGTCCTCTGTTCACCACCCGTTCTACGTATCGCTGATCCCCACCGCCCTTTCGAAGTGGTTACCGACGCAAGTGACATCGCCATCGGAGCTGTACTGTTACAGGACTTCGGCAACGGCCTCCAACCCATCGCCTACGAATCACGCAAACTACATCCGCCTGAGCGAAATTACCCGATACACGACCGCGAAATGCTCGCGATCGTGCATGCATTCAAAGTTTGGCGCTGCTACTTGACTGGCGCAGACGTGACAGTACGGACAGACCACCGATCTCTACAGTACCTCCGCGCACAGCCCCACCTCAACCCACGACAGATTCGATGGCTCGATTTCCTCGAGTCGAATTTTCACTATACGGTCACATACAAAAAAGGAGCATCGAATATCGCCGACGCACTGACCCGCCCCAC